GGGCATTCCCAGAACGGCAGATCTCCGTTCCCAGTGGTCATGAAAATGGTGCAATAGCTTCTAATGGGAATTTGTGTTCTAACTGGGAATGGAATCACAAGTGTTTCCTCGGTGTCCTCAAGCCTTGAGCTCTTGAGACAAAGCTTCCAGACACTTGATCTTTTCCCACCGTGCAACCAATGCCGTGTCAGGGGGCCACGCTGATTCCATCTGGCACCAATGTAGGAGGTACCAGGTTGAAAATGTCATGAACCCCACATGTGGCCCTGCTTGATCCTGAGCCTAATTCGGATGTCTCGAGGCCAGGTTCTCACGCGTCCAGTTCTGCCATGACCTGGCCAAAGATCCAGTTGCGAGGGGGGGGAGAGAAACATCCCGTACCGTGGCCTTGGCTTGGAGGTTGCGAGTGTAAAAAGGGGTGTGTGTGGCTTCACGTTGCCATTGGTTGTATTATTCGTAGTTGAGGGCCTCGGCTATTGACTGATCGTACCGGCAGACAAGGTGCGAACCACGTTGTGCTGCTGTGTGGCCACGTCTGTCCAAAGTACACGAGAAAGGACAACAAAACTCAATGGATGTTAATCGCACGAGTCATTTAATCCTCGTGAAGCCTTCACCGTGATTTTTCTCCATGAGCTTCAACCAACACGATGGAGATAACCGCCACGCTAAATGGCCCTCCGCCAGTGTGTGTGTGTGATTGATGCTCTGTATCAATTCACAGATTTCCATTAATGTGGAAGAAAGCATATCTGACCTGGCAGCCTCCAATTCTTCAGTATCATAAGTGTTATTGGTTCTTGGGTTATGGCTTTTACAAATAACTGAAATGCAATATTTAGATACTTTGTTTTTTAGGCCAGGCTACACTACACTAACACCACCACCGTGAAAGCAGTACTGAATCTGGCGTGAGAGAATCGTGATCATTGGGCCACTTACATTAACGCCAATACCAAATGCACTCCTCACTTTCATCGCTGCCAAATGTTAACGATCTTCATGGCTAATTAACGGTGTGGGTGAATGCCCTCCATGCTCTTTGTCAGTTAAACGGGGCATATGCAGTTGTACCAGGACGAAAGTAGTCCTGCAGCGTAGGTGCGCACTACACCACACGCCTAAGCGACATAGTTCTTCGCGGCTTAGAGCGTGAATTGAAAAAAGGCAAAGCACTGTGTACTTGGACGGTGGTGGGAGTACCGTACTGGTATTGCAGCATTTTCAGGTGATAGTATTTATTTTGTTTTAATTGCGGAACATAATTTACATTGGCTGTACGAAAGGTAAAAAGGTTGCACTATTTTGTTTGCTGGGTTTTTTTTATTATGATCAGAAAGTTGTGTTTTTATACTACATGTTTTTTCGTCAGTTTACCAAGGCAATATTGTTGTGATTTGAACAAAGACTCATGGATTGGCTTATTTTGTTACTCTATCCTCCATTTGTCATAGATAGGTTTGACTGAACTCGAGCTTCGGCTGTAGAACTCATCACTTGGGAAGGAGGGGTGGAGCTGGTCACACGCAAGCTTGGTAAAATGTGCAATAACAGTAATTGTCTGGTAATTCACTGTGTAAAGCTCTTCCGCTATGCTGTCAAACATCGTCATTTCCCGAAGAAGCTCCTTAGCACGTGCGGCGAAACGTCGGACAGCTCGCCAAAAAAAGAGTATGCCAAGTAACGTGCAGTTACAACCCGAAAACGCATTTGGAGAGCTGTGACAGCACATCTGCGAAAACCCGACGTAGTGATATTTCGTTTGCACGATCCTGCACACTTGCAGGTGATTGGCTCCGCACCCAGTCTGTAGAGGCAAGCAAATTAAGATGCTTATATTGTTTGGATTCTAAACACCCGTAAAGCCAAATAAGTCTTAATAAGGCTTTAGTGCTTGTGAATCCTAAAAATAAGTGTGGGATTAGGTGCACACAAATTCATCTCCAGCATCAGTGTCAATGCTTACAACCAAATGTGTTAAATTCCCATGGACTTGACATTTAAACAATTGGAACTCTGCAGTAGTCAATGCTATTTTTTTATAGAGTAGCAATCATCTTGTTTTTAAGCACATGGAATGAGAGTAAATATTGTATTTATAGCCTTAAGTACGATATGCCTTGGTTTATTTTGTAAGCCAAAATGTATCTTTTAACCTGCTAAGACGTGTACGATATCACTGCACAGTGAATGGCACATGGTGGAGAGTCGTATGTGAGACTATCACAATTGTCATGGACAAAAAATAAGTGAAACTGATTTTTATTTCTTAATGTCATCTGTATGAAATTCTAAAACGAAATAAACGTGTGCTTTGTTTAAATTAGTCTACAGCCTTTCTTTGCTCCTAGGTAAGTGCTAGTTTTTTGTTCAATGATTCTTATTGCATGTTTATTTTGGAAAGAGGTCGATATATTTTATTTAATCAACTAATTATTAAACGTAGGCTTTTAACAAAATGAATTGTTTGGACATTGCATAAAAAACCCTCTTGATGAAAAGTATTGGTACTTTACAAGGAATTCCTGGGTAAAATCTTACCCCCGATGCTGTGATTTGATAATCGGAAAGTACTGTATACAACAGTATTGTCAATTTATTATATAATATTAAAAAAAAGATGCATCCCTGAAATTTCTTGTGCATGCCACTGCTACTTAAGACGGCACCTCCTGGAGGTATTTTAGACAACCTTCCGTGCTGACCAGACACGTTCGTTTGTCGTTGCAGAGAATCGATGTTCCAATCCGGTAAGGCCGCCCTGGTTAATATACCGCGGGTGCATTAACCGTAAGACAATCGCCGTCTGCTTCACAAGTGTACGCCAAAGATCCCGTGAGCTCATTCACAGAGGAGTGAAACATTGCTCGCAAGTTATTTAATTGTCCCCTACTGCAAAAAACTAGGACCCTACATTAAGTCTGAATACTTTTATAAGTCCGGGTAAACGAGTGTAATGGTAATACCACCAATTAGTAGAGTTGACAGTGTTACAGTTAGAGATGTTTGGTTCACGTCGAAAGTCAATTTATGTCGCATAGCTTTTCAGGATTACAAATTAAATATGGCTTGTTTGAGTCCAAATTCCGACTCCCTCCAGTCTGAATTCCGGACCACTCCACATGTTGATAAGCCATTTCGTTGAGATATTACTATTTGTAATAGCCAGGTCGCTTCTGAAAAAGAGCTAAATAGCTCATTGGGCCTTACCTGGTTAAATAAATAGTGAATAAGTGAGTTTTTGTTTATTTTGATTGACTTTTTTACCTTTCGTATACTCTGCACTCCTATTATTTTTGTGTGTATTGTTTGTTGTAGCTTTTTGACCCGCCTGATTGGACATGAAGATTATTTTGGTGCTATAAATGTCCAAATAATGGACCACTTTGTTGAGCTATCATTTGTGATGGCCAGGTCACTTCTGAAAAACAAGTTCAAGCCTCAGTGGGGCTTTGCCTGGTAGGATGGGAGATGGATTAGTTCAAGGCCGTAGCCATGGAGTCAACATTGGGGGGGGGGGACCAAATCTTCCAGAGGGTCTGGGGTCCCCCCCCCAGAAAAAAATGTAAATTTGAAAACGAATTTCCTGCCTAAAATATTTAACAATTCACTAACACATAGGATGGACTTTTTTTTCTTTCAATAATGTCTAATAGTGTATTGTCTTACATTGTTCTGTTTTTCTTTTTTTTTACCTTTTCTTGTTTCATTGTATGTAATGGCAGAGATTAGGGATTAAGAAAGTACAACCACGACCACAATCATATAAACAGAAATCTATTTTATAGCAATATAATGGGGGGGGGGGGACATTTTGAGCATATTTGCGACGCTCATTGATTCGTGCCAGCCATCCTGTCATTCATTGGCTTCCTCATCACTAACATATCGGTATTACCACGGCCATAGTTCTAATACATTTCATATCTTGATACCTCTGCTAATGTCAAGGACTCATTTCACTAGGTTGACCGTTACGTACATGTTATGTATATCGTTTATTGTTGAATTTGAATCAGTTCCTTTGATTACTGTTGTTACATTGTTTTTATAGCTTTATTTTGGTGATTTCGAAAACATGGTGAAGCCATGTTTCTTGCGGAAGTGCGGAGTTGGCCTGATAACTTTAATCTAAATTGTCTTATGGTTGATAATTGTTTTTTACCCTTTTATCTGGCAACAAAACTGACACCTTTTTTTATAAGGAGTCATGTTTGCATTAACCACAATACCTGCGGTCGGAATGCAAACAAAAACATAACTCTGATAATGTATTGGCACTGTCAATTATTGGTCCACACCCGAGCCAGCTTTCCTTAGAGCCTAGTCTCACATGGTGTTGGACCAGATGACGCCAAAAGGCGCACAGATAAAAGGGTAAAAAAAACAATTATATTTTGCTACTGGCAAAGGAGGTTCCAATGGTGTCTTATGGTTGTTATTGTTTGACTTGCATCACACTGGGATTTTTGCACACAGCGTTGTAATACGGTGTGTGTGTGTGGGGGTGGGTTCTGGAAGATTTGCTGGTTTATCCCAGGATGTTTCTGTTGCGCGTCGTCGCTTTAAGATGTTTCTCTTTTCATATTTTGTTTGTTGCGGTTGCACCCGACTTAAGAGCCGCATAACTCACAGGGCTATACCTAATACATGAAACTTGAAAAAAAAAACTTGAAAAACCACTCGAGTCTGAATTCCGGACCACTCGAGTCGGAATTCCCGCTGCCTCGAGTCTGAATTCCGGACCACTCGAGTCGGAATTCCCGCTGCCTTGTGTCTAAATTCGGGACCACTCGAGTCTCAATTCAGGACCACTCGGGTGGTTTGAATTCGGGACCACTCGAGTGGTCTGAATTCGGGACCACTCGAGTGGTCTGAATTCGGGACCACTCGAGTGGTCTGAATTCAGACCACTCGAGTGGTCTGGATTCGGGACCACTCGAGTGGTCTGAATTCGGGACCACTCTAGTGGTCTGAATTCAGGACCACTCGAGTGGTCTGAATTCGGGACCACTCGAGTGGTCTGGATTCGGGACCACTCGAGTGGTCTGAATGAGGTCTGAATTCGGGACCACTCGAGGTCCCACAGCCGCCACATTCCACACCCACAGTGGCGCCGCACGGCATTGTGGGTCTCCGCGCATCCACAGCCATGGCCGCTTCGCTGTCGCTCACCCAGGTCAGTGCCACTTCGCCTTTCACTTCTCCTCACCGCGTTACTCCACCACCTCGAAACTTTAACCGGCGAGCTCGACGCGGCATCCGCTTCGGTCCGTGCCCGCGGACTCCGCGCGTCACCTGCCGCGTTCGTCTCTTCGCGACGCTCGCCGCGATGCCCAGCTAGGCCCCAATGTCGACATCGGTCTTGCCTAGTTTGTCCTGCCGGGATCACACGGCCCTCGGGCGGGTCGCGGATGCCGGGCGAGGTTTGGTGTCTCTCAGCGTCAAAGCAAGGACATTTAAAAAATAAAGTGATGCAAATATAATGTGTTTACTAAAAAAAACCACTGGGAATATTTATTCGTGACTTTACACATACCAACATAGTCTTTGGTTATGGTTAAGTTTTGTTACATTAATGTGTTGTAATAATCGGCAGTGTACTGTATGTTGGTGCGATGTACTGTACGTCAGACTGAATCTGTAATAATCGCCAGCCACGGTCTATCCACTGCTGGATGAAGGTCTCCGACGCTTTCGCTCGAACCTCACGCTCCAGTGCTTGCTGCCTTCCCACCCTCACTCATGCAGCACCGTGAAGTGATCTTGTCGCTCCGTCTTCCTCGGTGGGCGATCTGCGAGACGATATCCCTCCTTTGACTTGCCGCTCTATCACCGGCCTTGTCCATCGGTCATCTTCACTCCTCTACCTGGAACCCGTAGGATCTCTCCCCTCTTCTCGGTGTATGGCCGAGCGGACGCGACATCTCTCCTATGCCTGTCATTAGCGCCGCGGTGGCGAGATGTTAACTACCTCTCCGGGTATGGAGGTGGTCGTGGGTTCGATCCCGATCCTTGACGCCTGCTGTATGTTCGGAGTTTTTCGTGGTTCGCTTTTCATCGTGGTTCCGTGGATGTTTCTCCGGGTCGTACGGTTTCTCCCCTCCACATTTAGAATGAACGTGCGTTGAGAGTAAGATCGGCCACTTGGTTGAGCTGTACAGATCAGTGGGCCTTACTCACTCCAGCGCTGTCCTACCAGACAGTCTCGCTCCCTTCACCTGATGAAGGCCGCTTGTGTTGTGGCCGAAACGTCGTGAGAATATTATTGTGTTATTTTATTTTATCAATTTATTATTTTATTCTCATTCTACGTGACTTTACCGAAAGAACCAAAGAAGATGAAAGTTAATATAGTTAAGCACTGTAGTTTCTGGCACTCGTCTGGGCCATGATCCATCCCCGCCCAGCGATGATGTGTCCTGCCAAGGCCCAGTTAAATAGGCTGCATGTCACGGCGGTATACTGTATTAATAGAGTTACGACTTTAAGTGCTATAGTTTTTAGGGTAGTGTGAGCGCTAACATTCAAATACTGTAGTGTTAATATTAAAGTTGAGACACAACGCAGCTTCGGACGTTTGGTTGCCAACCTGGGTTGTTGTCAACAGTTGTCCAACGCGAGTTTGCAGTCGTTAAGTGACAACCCCCCCCCCCCCCCACAAATTAATTGAAGACGGTGGCTCTCAACCTTGTGTTGGGGCTGTGACACCCCAATCAACTGTCCCACGCCACATCACACACGGTCGGAGTGTTTTGTCGCCTGCCGCCGCAGCGTTGTGGCATTGACGTTCCCAGGCGCACGTTCGAACACATTCAGCGCTGCCAACCCCTGACCACCCTGTTGTGGTTGAGAAACAGCAGTTGCACGATATGTGTGTGTATATATACAGTCTATTCATTTATCAGATGATACGATCTCAAGGTACGACTCTCATTTAGTTGTTTAGGTTAGACGGTTGGGGGAATATTATCAGTGGTGCAGGGGTTTAGAGGGGGGGGGGGTCGTTTTTAGTGGGTTAGAGTTCAGGTTTAGAGTTAGGGGATTCGCTGGTTAGGGTGTAAGGGGTTTAGGGGTTAGGTCTTTATGGGATTAGGGGTAGCAGTAAGTTACCCAACGCTGCTTTCCACGAACGAGCAGAGGCCACTCGTGGCCTCAAGAGTTATGGGGAAGGGCGTAGTAGTTATAGCACACCGATGACGGCACTCCCATCCGTGTAAGTCACTCGATGCTGATGCCACTAACCGACATGCCTGCCGCAACGCCCGACTGTGATTGTCAAGTTAGTTGTTTTGTTTATCGTTAATGAATTCACAAATTCGTGCTGACAGCCCCGGACACAGACTTGTTTGCTTTACTTTTTCTGCAAGGTAAGGGATGTTTGTTTACGTTACGACTTCCTTTGTAGCGTTTTAAGTAATCAGTGTTAAATAAAATAATAGTTCATTATTAAATTATTTTGAACTGTCATCGATTAAAATAATACATTATTTTATCAGCCTCAAGATTAATGATGGGAGTGTTATAATGACATTGTTATACATGCATCGATTGTTACTGATGTCCATTAGCTGGCGAGTAGTCGTGCAGTGGTTCCGAATTTGAATATGTATACAGCAGGCATCCGATGAGCTATAAAGATCATTTTCACATGTCCAGGGCACTGTGTAAGAGCGTTACAACAACAAACAACACAAAAACACTATAAGGAGTGCACGGATAATGTGATTGGCAAGCGATATTTGAACCGGCTTTCATTGTCAAAACCTGCTGATAGTGTGGATACATTATGGTCAAACAACCCCATGATGCAAATGGCTGGAAATTGTCATTCTGCTTATTTAACTATAAAAAGGTAATTATTTACTGAAAATATAAAACAATAATGGTTTGGTTGATCTATATATAATTGTTACATAAAGTCATCTTTTGGTCAGTTTTTTGGTAAATATTGATGTTGTGGGTGAGAAAAAAACATGCTACACGCCTTAAATGTGTAGTGAGTCCAACTGAGTCGCAGACGTTACTTTTAGAGGCAACATTTATTTGTAACAACGTAACACAAAGGGGTAACTGCCCCTTTACCAGATACAACCTAGGGTGGTGACCACCCACTATACAGGGGAGTTACTGCTACGAAGGGTCGGACCCTCGTTCGGGTCTCCGACCACGTGGTCCCCCGTAGGACGGGGCGCTTCCAGCTTGAGACGCGGAACTTCCAGCTTGTAGATCGCAGAGAAACCCCGGTCCCTCTCAGGGACCCGCCTTATATCCCTCTTTGGTTGGGGCCGCTCTGCCCCCGGCCCCACCCGCCTTCCCGAACATTCTCGTTCCCTCTTGATCGATCCTTCTCAAGAGCTCTCTCCGGACACGTGATCACCCCCTAGTCCCCCCACCTGGGGCCCCCTGTATGGACATTCCGGATCACGTGTCTACAGGGTCAACCAGAGTGCCTTGGCCCGGGGCAACCCTGCCCCTGGGCTGACACCCCCTCCCCCTCGGGGGAGCCCCCACGACACGCTGTGCGTGGTGCCCGCACTATCCCAGTGCTTGCCAGGCCCCGCTAGGGCTGGTACTACACACGGTGCTGTCCACGATGTAGGAACATCGAACGGCACGACCCTTCCGGGTCGGCACCATACAGTGACATCCTTGATGTCACGACAAATGGATTCATGTTTAGTGTTTTGGGTTAGGTTGTGTTATTACACGCAGGCAATATTTGACAATTATATACTATATGATAAAAAAAATTGACAAATGTAGTTGCAAATTATATTTTTGTAAAATTTCGCTTGCTTTTTTGATATACCAGTTTGACAGCTTGATTTGTTTGTCATTGTGGTCGAGGCTACATTGCTCTGATTGACATTATACCCACTCAATCTAACAAAAAAAATTAAGAGTCATAACATAGGTCATGAAAGCCTATGTATGAACATACCTTTAAAATTGTCATTTTATTGAAGTATCCAAGGCCATTGCTAATGCAAACAGTAACCTCACTCTGCCATATTTTTATTTTTCCAACCCGTAACCTTCAAGTCTTTATTGCTTGTGGCATACTCCCCACTATTTTGGACTCATTAATCTACAGGAAGCAGAAGATGTTCTTGTTTCTCTGCACCATTAAAACCTAACCGGTTCTGATGACATTTACCAGACATTTCTGGCATTCAAGCTCTCACACAATTTTAGTAAGGCATCTCTCCACCCCAGTTAGAAAATACAGCTATAAGCCCTCTCACCTGGTTATAAATAATTATATTTTTTGTTCAATGTTATTGAAAGGGTGTTTATGTGATGTAATGGTCAACGCACTGAACTTTCAATCCAAAGGCTGTCAGGTTTGATTTGATCTCCCAGCACGGCAGTATAAATGATGGGCGAGTTTCTTAAATTTCCCTGCCTCTTGTCTACCCAACGGTATAAATTTGTGCACCACAGTTTGTTGTTTGGCAGGTCATATGTGTGTTGGACACTGCCACCTTTTCAATGACGTCTGGCCCCCATGAAAAAGTAGGCAGAATAATCTCTAGACGTGCTCTCTAGAGGTCCTTCTAGTGGAGGCCCTTTTATCAGTAGCAGCTTTAAGCAAGAAATAGTAGGGCTATGCTGTGGCTTCCGATATTAGGAAGCCACTGGAGCTATGTACTTTTAAATCTGGTTTGAAAACTAATTGATTTGAAACAACTTTTTGTGTTTAGTTTATTGGCCTTCCCCGCACCTCTAATGGGCACGGTTGGCTACGTACGGTGCGAAAGAAGATCAACTTACATACATATACAGATTATTAAAATACATTTTTCTGGTTTACTATAACCCTGTCAATGTTTGCAGAATTTGTATTTATTTTGTGACAATATATGGTGATTTTTTTTTTCACCTGAAGACGATTGCTTGTGTTGCGATCAAAACGTGATTTTTAAAATTATTTTTCTATCTACGTGACTTTACCGAAAGACCCAAAGAGTATGAATTCCTGCAGTCACGAGAGCTTTGTCAAGATTTATATGGTCAATGTCTCAAACAACTTGACGAATGTTCACATTCATGTCATTTCGCAGTTGTCAAGTGGCAACCCCGTGTATGAGAAATACTACAGGCTGGTACGTGACGGTGTGGAATATGCCCTTGTGTTCAAAGCTTCTATTTATTTAGCCATGTTTCTCTGGCAGTGATATGGTTGTGAGTTATATCGGTTGATAAAGCTTTGAAAACTATTTGTGGCCAGAAGGCTTTGTTTTAAATGCATATTATGTATTCAATTGTTCATCGTCAAATTTAATATTACGCCTATCTCGAAATACATCGAGTACTGATGGAAAAAATCATCAGAGGGGCCAAGTTGTTTCTATCTGAATACATAATCTATTTCAGGAAAAACAACATTAATTATAGAAATGCCGTTTTAATTGGATGATATTGAATGTATCCAATCTGAAATATACATACATAATTATAGTTCTTATGTTTATGTTCAATTTTACACAAATGAAATATCTCAAGAATTGTCTACGACATTCAACGGCCGTGTAATAATATTGGCCGGTAGGACGGCATATTTATTTTTCTCACCCTGGGTGCACTTCTGAGTCGGTATAATGTTACCTTGAACAACGTGTGAAGTATTGACTACTGCAGTGTTCGTTTCGTCAGTATTTTCTATTTTTAGTTATAGTTTTAGTGAAGTCTCAGCCTGCGGGTTTCATTCGGTCATTCTCTTAGTCTCGTCTTCTGAAGCAGAAAAAGTTAAAATCCACCCTAGTGAGAGCGGTGTGCAATTTTTCCTGTCTCCAAATATCAGGTCAGCCAATCGGTGAGCTTTAATTTTTGTTCACAATTACCCATTCGGTCATCATCCGTGCATTTTTGTCAAATTACATTTCTAAATAATCTTAGTCTGCATCTTCATTCGGACTAATTTCATCTCATCATAGTTGTGTTTTGGTATTTGGTGGGTGGTAATCATCATCATGCTAGATTATTTTCATCGACTCAGTTATCATTGGCTAAAACCGACCCCCCCCCCACCACCACTTATTTCAAATATTTCCAAAACTAATTTAGTGAACACGGCTAACACTGGTCGACTATGTGTTTGTGTGGTGCAGGTGGATCCGGGCAACAATGGCAGAGTTGGGGCCTCTGAAGCGGCATTGTTCCTGAAAAAGTCCGGTCTCTCGGACCTCACGCTTGGCAAGGTTCGAATGTACAAATGCTGGCACGCTGTGAAGTCACGCATGTATGACGCCATCTGAACTGAGTGCCAGCCAATTCCACGTGATGTGTCATTGTGCGTATTGCTATGGCGAATGACAGGCATGTACATGTTTTCCTCTCCTCTGCATATTTATGCCATTTCTGTATTGACGTTATTTTGGGTTCTGATTTTATTCGACAAATGATGGTGACGTTATCGTCTCATTTGTACTGGCTTGTTTTGTATTGACTGTCTCACATATTCTGTCTTGTTTTTTTTTATCTTTTCATTGGTCTGCACGTAACATTTCGCGTATTATGTGCACCAATGGGACATAACACACGATTCACTGTGTGCATCGTGAGCATAATCATCACTTTTAGGTGGGCAGGTAGCGCAGAGGTCAGAGCACTTGCATCCCTGTCTTGCTTGTCGAAACTTCTTATGCCACCGTGTATAGCTAACTGCTAATCGGAGGTGCTCTGATATCCTGGGTTTGAATCCAGGCAGACCCATTGAATCCAGACAGCCCCATTGAATCCAGGCAGCCCTATTGAATCCAGACAGCCCCATTGAATCCAGGCAGTCCCATTGAATCCAGACAGCCCCATTGAATCCAGGCAGTCCCATTGAATCCAGGCAGCCCCATTGAATCCAGGCAGTCCCATTGAATCCAGGCAGTCCCATTAAATCCAGACAGCCCCATTGAATCCGGACAGCCCCATTGACTCCTGGCAGTCCCATTGAATCCAGGCAGCCCTATTGAATCCTGGCAGCCCCATTGAATCCAGACAGCCCCATTGAATCCAGACAGTACCATTGAATCCAGACAGCCCTATTGAATACAGACAGCCCCATTGAATCCAGGCAGTCCCATTGAATCCAGACAGCCCCATTGAATCCAGGCAGCCCTATTGAATCCAGACAGCCCCATTGAATCCAGACAGCCCCATTGAATCCAGACAGCCCCATTGAATCCAGACAGCCCCATTGAATCCTGGCAGCCCTATTGAATCCAGACAATCCCATTGAATCCAGACAGCCCCATTGAATCCTGGCAGCCCTATTGAATCCAGACAGCCCTATTGAATCTAGACAGCCCTATTGAATCCAGGCAGCCCTATTGAATCCAGGCAGCCCTATTGAATCCAGACAGCCCCATTGAATCCAGACAGCCCTATTGAACCCAGACAGCCCCATTGAATCCAGACAGCCCTATTGAATCCAGGCAGTCCCATTGAATCCAGACAACCCTATTGAACCCAGACAGCCCCATTGAATCCAGACAGACCTATTGAACCCAGACAGTCCCATTGAATCCAGACAGCCCCATTAAATCCAGGCAGTCCCATTGAATCCAGACAACCCTATTGAACCCAGACAACCCCATTGAATCCAGACAGCCCTATTGAATCCAGACAGCCCTATTGAATTCGGACAGCCCCATTTAATCCTGGCAGTCCCATTGAATCCAGACAGCCCTATTGAATCCAGACAACTCCATTGAATCCAGACAGCCCTATTGAACCCAGACAGCCCCATTGAATCCAGACAGCCCTATTGAATCCAGGCAGCCCCATTGAATCCAGGCAGTCCCATTGAATCCAGACAGCCCCATTGAATCCAGACAGCCCCATTGAACCCAGACAGCCCCATTGAATCCAGGCAGTCCCATTGAATCCAGACAGCCCAATCACTAACGGCTTCACAAAAATAATTACATTTCATTTGGTTTTGCACCTCATTTGGTGGAATTCCAGTTCGGAGAATTAAAATATTGGTTTGTCATGCAACGAAAGTTACTCTCATATGACAGAACATGTGGGACAGTTCTGCCCATTTACCGTGTCGGCCAGGTTACTTGAAGGGTTCTCAGAGGTAGCTCTGTGATGTCTGCTTTCGTGGGCCGTTCTTTAACACGACGGGTTGTACTGTTCCGCTCGAGATCTGAATTGATACCTGATAACCAATGGCACAACTGGGATAACATCTGTGGGATTATGGTCAGACTTTCAGAAGTTTCGCATTGCATGACCAATACATCTTATAACTAGAGTAACATTGCAAGTCATCCGGATAGTATCGCATCTACTGGTACTAAGGCAACCTTTGAATGAAAGGATAGGAAATATTTTGACGATAAGTTTACTCAAAATAAACGCACCATGTTATGCTTATACCTTACACATACCATGTTACATTTTGTTTGTATTCACTCTTTGCAATGTCTTCATTATTTTAATACGGTGAAATTCAATATGGATTTTGCATCTATTTCCAACAACATCATACGGCACTGCTGCAGATAAAAATGTGTTTAAAACTGTAGCCAACAACAATGGCACGCAATTTGATATCAAACTGTATTTTAAAAAAAATGTGTTTGGTTTTATTTTTGTTTGCGTGTGTAGATGCAGTTTAAAGTTGTGGCCAGCAGATGGCACACATTCCTTGGTTATAAACTTTATATATTGTAACCATTCTGATGCAAAGACATCGGGAACACCAGGCCGAGGATACCAATGCAGTGGTTCCTCGGTTTACGATGCCATTGATTGATGATATTTCGATTAACGATCCGCTTCCCAATGGGTCCCATTGTTTCTATTAACGATACATTTTCAATTAACGATATTGTTTTACGATGTCACGCGGCCACCAATTTCGGCCAATCGGAGCGCTCCTAAGTTAACTCAGCAGACCTTAGCCAATCAGCGATGCCCTTTTATGAGCATTTTGAGAGCAACTGGCTCAATGCTTTTCAATGATTTTAAATGTTTTAAAAGCGAGCTAACCCCTTAAACCATCCATCGTCTTAGTCTAAGGTAATAATTTTATTTTATCCTCTATGCACATTTTTATGCTCTCTTTATTCATGATGTATCAATGTTTATATAAATATTAATGCTTTAATATGGTCTTATATCATTTATTTATTTCAATTGCATGTTTAAATATTTGAAACTATGATTTTATGGTAAAAAAGGTCAACTTCTGATTGTCTTGGAACACATTAAGCCTTGAACATGTATTTCCTACATTCGATTAACGATAACTTAAATTGAAAACGGTTTTCGTAGAACCAATTAATATCGTTAACCATGGGACCGCTGTACTTAACACTTCAGTGAATGACCATAGATTGATGTTAGCGATTTAAGCAGGCTACTTCCCTGTGTTTAAATGTCGATGGCACGTTTACAGTATACCCACAATGCAACCTCTTGTTGGGCACCAGTGCTGCAGTGGTCGCAATTCAAGAATTGCCACCACTCTTAAACATTTAAATTATGTGAGAGAATTTCAAAACATTGTATAATAATGCTGGAGAACATGCAAAGTGCTAACTGTGAAAACAATTCCACCAGTTCAAAAATACCGGTATATGCAGTAAATTTCTGACAATTTCTTCATTTGAGCAATTGCATTTCTATTTACTATTAAACCAAAAGTGTGCCGGCGAAACACATCCTGCATGGATTAGCGGGAAAATGCAAGATCGTCACACATATAACGTTGACGTATTCATAAAATGGATGTTTAATTTTTTCTGGATTTGCCACTTCTACAGACAGGGTGGATATGGAGCAAGGAAATGAGCTCATGTGGAGATGCTAGATGGATTGTGGGTGGCAGTAGTGTAGCAGTTGGCATGCTACGCTATGAACGTGGTGACTGAGTTCGATTCCCGCTGTCGACAAACTCCAGTAACGATTATCTGAACTAGTCCTGGGCCTCCCTTAGGTCGACTCAGCCTCAAGTGAGAACCTTTTGCACTTGTAAAAATATCGCCACTGGGGAGATAAAAGTGGTCATGAGTGGTGCTTGCCACCCACCCACCCCCTCGTGTACCGTCCCGGCCTTCGTAAGTGCTCGCTAACAGCACTTGCCCCAACAGTCTGTTAAGACTATACGGGGGATCTTTGTCTTCGTTGCATCGCAGGATTGTGATGGATAGTGATGGCATGTGGAGGCCTTCATCGAGCAGTAATTGATCATTGGCAGACGATGATGTTGACTGGTTGTGTATGGTTTGTATTGCCAGATATGGGACCTGGCTGATGCAGACAGGAAGGGCTGGCTGGACAAACAGGTCAGTGACTGCACCGATAACGAATCCATTCACCTATACGGTACGATGTCGCACAACTGACCTTCACTTATCTGTCCAGACCACTTAACCGCCCCCCACACCGAGTGCACAGGTGTGACCGTCAGTGTTCTGTAATATGTGTAAACCCTTTAGATGTGTCATGTGACCACGCCCGCATGTAGCGTACGACAAGTGGTTCAATTGAATTGCTAAATTGAAAAAATGTATTTCGAGAAAAAAAAGTCAAAGCACTGTGCTGCTTCAAATGTGTCGTTTCTTTACTATTCGCTCAGATCCGGATAGTTCAAAGACGTTGAGGTATTCTGTGGATTAAAAATTTGAGGCGAATGTCTGCTGCACCCCAGCATCGTCCCACATTGCTGTGTATTAAGCCCTATATTGTCATGTTTTAGGTGGCGACAGTTTAAGCAAACGTGTTCTCTAGTATTCGATGAGGGTTCACCTCAAGCAATTTGTCCACCATTGTCTGCCCGAGCATATTGACGGACAACTTGCGTGAATTGGTCTTGCGCCCCACCTCATGTCGCCTCTCTGATCTCCTTCTATGCTTCTTTCTTGCCCTCTTCTTTCCCAATCCTCTCTCTCTCTCTGGCCATTCTTCTCCCTGTGCCCAATCCTGTTTTTGGTTCGTTTCCCTCCTTGCTCCCCTCCACTGGAATAAACTTTGCCTGTACATCAGGCAGCACTGCCCATAGACTCAACACTGCCCATAGTCTCTACACTGCCCATAGACTCCACACTGCCCATAGACTCCACATTATACATAGACTCCACACTGCCAATATACGCTACACTGCACCATAGGCTCAACACTCCCCATAGATTCAACGCCGCCTCTGTTAATTAACCTTCTTAACCTCCTTCCATTCCCCTCTTAAAACTTTCCGCTTCTCCATTGCCCGTTTATGTTTTCTTGTTTTAGAAGATTTAATTTAAACTATGTGAAGCACCTTGAATTTAAAGGTGCTTTATATTATAAATATAAAATAATATAAGAAATGTCAGCAGCAGTTGTGCGATTCTCTCAAACCGCTTTCTGACACTTAATTTTTGCGTGCATTTGAATGTCATTGTGCGATTGTTAATTAAAAAATAAATATCTGGTTGTCTCCAAACTCAACACCACCGTTGATTTTTATCACCCTCCGATTTGTGTTTTCGGGTCACACCGTGCGTTGTTTGGCATGATGTCCGACGTTTCGCTCCACGTGCTGGGAGCTTCTTCAGGAACTGATGCTCTCAGCATGTAGGAACAAAACGACATCACACCGGACAATGCGAGGTATAACCCAAAAACACATCCGGAGAGCCATGCAGCACGACCGTATAAATCTACCCAATGGTACCATTTTATACTATTTACATCGATATTTGCTCATTAACGTTAAAATGCTTTGAGCATTGCATGAGTGACCTTAGGACAACTACACGTACATGATTATCTCGTGATTGTCTCTGATTTTATTTGTTTTCTTCACCTGTGTTTTGCAAAGAAATCTGATTGAATATTAAAACAATTGCGTGAAGGGGTCTTTACGTGGAATTGGCATCATTTAAAGTTTTGTGACAATAATTTTATATTTGAGTATGTTTTTGCAAAACAGTTAACTTGTTCACAGAAGTATAGGTTGGGAAAACTGGCTCATTAAAAAAAGCATTAACATTTTATTTTTAAAACGGTGTAGATAAGCTTCAACCCTGACTAAATTATTTTCACTTTTAAATATAGAAGAACTCTATTTAAATATTGCCATTCGGTAACGTTATTTTAAAGGTTTTTATTTTAACTTGAACAAACGCCGTGTTGAGTAATTTCGACTCGGCTATAAAGGACAAGCGAGATACTTAATGTTCTGTGGTTTCACAAATTCCTTTCAACAAAATTTTGAAAATAGCTCAAAGCTTTTGAGTAGCTTAAACCTGTGAAATACTAAAATGTATTTTAATTCCAATTCTGACCATTTACTTCATAGAGAAATATAGAACGAAGTATGTGGTTCAGGAGATACGCCCGGCCTTCATTGCAGTGATTCATTTGTGTGTTTGTGTTCGTATATAGAATGCTGAAATGAAATACAAAATTAAACGTGTTCAATGGTTCACAAACTTACCGTTAGCTCATATTCTTAGTTCTTTCGGTAAAGTCACGTTGAAGGGAAACAATAAAATAATAAAATATATATAAAACAATATGTGACTTTACCGAAAGAACTAAGAATATGAATTACTGCAGTCACGAAAGCTTTAAATCAAAATTTACCGTTAGCTCGGCAAGTGCATTGCAAAGTATTCTCGTAAAATATTGCGGTGCAGCATTGAACGTTTATTCTTTTGCGTCAGATGAGAAAGGAAAGTGTTTGGGGTTGCGTAGGAAGTGTATGTACAGCAAGTGACGATTATATGAACCGGTCTTGGGCCTCTCCTAGGTCAACTCAACCTCAAATGAGTACCTGGTGCGATGTGTAAAACATCGTCACTAGGGAGACAAAGTGTTTGGGGTTGCGTAGGAAGTGTATGTACAGCAAGTGACGATTATATGAACCGGTCCTGGGCCTCTCCAAGGTCAACTCAACCTCAAACGAGTACCTGGTGCGATGTGTAAAACATCGTCACTAGGGAGACAAAGGCGGCCGGGCGTGGTGTCGGCCACCCGCCTCCACGTGTGCCGTGCCGGCCTTCAATGGGTGCCACTCGCTAACAGCACTTGTCCCAACAGCTTGTTAAGGCTACACAGGGGGATCTTTGTTTTTCGGTGACGACGGGAGCTGGCGGCGTGACGTGCACACGTCACCTTGTTGTGCTTGAGTGTTGTTTTCGCTCCGTCTCACCCGTCCGTGTGGTCTGTGCCCCCGCCACCGTCTCCTCCAGGGATTCTATGTGGCCTTGAGGCTGGTGGCGTGCGCTCAGAACGGGCACGAGATTGCGCTGAGCGCCTTGAGCCACGTCATCCCTCCGCCCGCATTCGTGAGTTCGATGGCAGGGGCCGCACGCTTCCGTACGATGAACGCTTGGCAGAAATCGTCGGGCGCTAGCACGCTGGGAAAAGCGGCGCTCGTGTCGGGCACCAAAGGTGGCCCAGATGATGTCGCAGTCAAGAGTCTTTGTTGCTCTGTTCAGTAGGCGCTAAGGAAATTCAGTGTGATGCATTTGTTTGGTTCAATGAACAGTTCTTGAGAGGTATATAATAATATATCTGAATTGTCAAATGCTCGTACCCTTTTTCCTCTCATTCCTCCCAACCACCGCAGCATAGGGCCCTCATGGTACAGTTGGTTATCCGCTACTTATCTGGTGAGCAGAGCCACAACTAAATAGTAAAGTACTGGCGTCACGAGACATCTGAATCTGGCTCGTCGAGGGCCAAGCAGAGCAAATGGGAAAGTTGATCATTTTCTTATCAACCGGTGCGTAATTTTTCATCTCATGTTGCATCAGTCGGTCCACTCGGACATTTGATGCCTATGTCGCACAGCAGGTACAGCTTGAGTTTTGCAATGGATAAAAAAAACAACCCTGGCACCTCCTGTGCTGGGCCTGCCTCGGTATGGCTTTGGCACGGCTCGGTTGTGCAGTGGGAAAAGAGGCATTATTATTCCTAGACAACAGTTACTTTAACACGGAGTAGACTTTCGTGAACAATATTATCCATAATAGAGGTTCCTTTGGGTTAGATCACTTAAATATAAATGTGTTCAAAAACCCGCCACCACCCGACACAGCCAATTGGTAAGGTTTGTCACGTAAACAAAATATGCCAAACGTACTCGAATTGTAAATGTTGGGGATTCACTCTCCAACACTCCAGTGTGCTGAACAGTTACTTGTTTCAGGCACCATAGTCATTCTAGATTAGTTCACAGACAGTAAGTGTTAAGGAAACAGAGTGTAATGCGTTTTTATTAATTTAACGTACTGTAACACTTGACCGCCTATAATTATATCGGCAGAAGTGTGCCCAATCTAATCACATCTCAGAAGTCAAGTAGGTGGATTGAGCCTGTGGACAGTGCTTGGATGGGTTTATCACCATGCAACGCTCAGGTGTGTTACAGGCTGCTGCGGGGTTAACATTATGGGCAAATTGAAGGCAGTGCAGCAAAATCTGTTGTTGTGCCATGCCGCACTCGACGTTTCAGCTCCCTTCCTTCACCAGGACGCATTGACCAGCGTGGCGAAGCATGGTCAAACAATCTCACAACCTGCACACCGTCGGGAGGGCCCTCATCCAGCAGCGGATTGACAAAAGAGGGCCGTGCATGTACAACAACACTTGACCGTATCTCAACAGCATAAGCCCTATCTGGACCAACGTAAGCCGGTGTCTGTGACTATATGTGACCCTGTCCTCTCTGTATTCACAGCAAGATACAGGTAGTCCCCAGCTTGGTTCGTCTGCACAGAACCCAGAGGCCTTTTGGGTTGTTAAGGTGAGCTGTGGAATGACTGTGAAGGGAGATTACCTCTGCCTGTGTGTTGACACTTTGTCTGCAGGGAGTGTTTTAGATATCAAGAGACCATAAATGATGAAGGCAAAACAAATAAACTAAGGTACAGCAATTAAGTAAGTGTAAATGAGAACGCAAACAAAATATATGTATGTTGCACTTCTTTTGCACGATACGTATGCAACCGCGCTAATCGGAGGTGCGGGGGAAGAACAACAAACTAAACATAAAAAGCAGTTCTAAAGAAATTCGTTTTCAATCTAGATTTAAAAGTGCATAGCTCCAATGGCTTCCTAATATCGGAAGGAAGAGCGTTCCAGATGGCCGCAGAAGCGCATCTTGAACCGTGCGATGCAGTGACCGTCTTTGTTTGATGGTTAGCTAAAAGCTGCTGCGAGAATGACCGGAGTTTGCTTGATGGATTAAGCTCCTTGACGAGATCAGCAAGGTATTGTGATGAGCACGGTTGGCTACGTACCGTGCCAAATAAGTTCAACGTACATACGTACGTACAAGTGTAACTGGAGTGCTATTGCCACCTGGCATTGGAAGATGTTGCACAGACAGCAGCTTTTTAGACATTTTACACACACGAATGAGTGTCGATCCCGCTATTAATATGCAGAAAGCGAGGCCGAGCTGATGCGAGGATCCGTGTAGCTTGCCTTGCGCCTAAGGGGGATTTCTCACTGGAACAGGTTATCTGGGACTGAACCCGAGCTAAAGCCAGAATCGAGGCAGCATCTCCAAGGGGTTGTATAGATTAGAATGTCAAGTCGAGTGTCACTTTAAAATGCGTGAAAGTTTTTTTTGTGTCTGTGTGTGTAGAGAGGTACATTCCACGGCAATTTGTGCTGTAAATGGCGATTTCCTTGTTACGCGTGGCTGCTGTTATTCTCCGAGTGAACTCGATGGTAATTAAACCATTGCCGTGGCAGGAATTGGAATCGGACTTGGAGCCGCACAACCGCTTTAAAAAAATGTTTTTGTTGCCAAGGAAGCTTATTATCTGAATGGGTTATTACGTGGTCACATAAAATACAGCCAAGAGAGACGCTTGCTTCATTGTGGATTCGCGGTGCTGCGGTTCATCGCACTGTGGCGTCTGATAAGGGCCCACAGAATGTGGCTCCATTCAGCAGAGTTTCTTTGCTCTTATCTAGTCCTTGCGTAGAGTCGAGACAACGGTCATGTGTGTTTTCCCCAGTTCGGTTGTCGGCAGTCAGAATTTCAATTTAGGACCGGTATTGTCAACAGTTCAGGCCGCGTTGCTGTGCATTCAAGGCTGGCGGAGGTCAATATTTACATTAGAATCTTTATTCTTGTGTTTGCTTTATTAATCTTGGTCATAGTTCCGTTTCTCCTTTGTTTTGTGAAATACCAATTTGCATAGCACTTGTATGAAATTTTTAAATTCGTCCATGTTTTACCATTACAAATAGTTGCCACTTATATTTTTTTTACCGACTCCCACGTTGTCCTTGTTATTGTTGTTGTAAAGCAAAAATCTGAACACTTTCAGTTGTTTTGTTTTCATTACTCTGCCATCATTGCTTCTTAATTATGTTTTATTAGTATTTCACTTTTTGTCTTAATCAGAGCACTCTCTTAAGTTTCACAAGTGTTGACAAAACACAGAGCAAATACATTTGGAATAATCCACCAGCTTTTCTATTTTAATTAACAGGAGCTGCAAAGGACAGCGGTTCATAGTTGTGCCTGCCAAGCCATTGCAAATGAATAGCTATGCCCCGTGCACAGGAGCTGTTGTGCAGCATTGGGCGCAGTTATTTACTGCCGCGTTTTTTGAAAGGAATTGAAACCCAGAGGTCACCTTTTCGATCTCCCGGCACGGCAGTTGAAACGACAGTGCAAGTTTACTAAATCCGCCCCCGCGCTCTGTCCACCCCAGCAGTTTTATTCGGTACCCCACAGTTAAGCTTTAGTTTTACAGTAAAACCTTGGATTGCGAGCATAATTCGTTCTGGAAACGTGTTTGAAATCCAAAGCACTCGTATATCAAAGCACTCGTATATCAGTTGTGATCATGTGACGCTCGGCAGACAAAGCGTATACGTACTACTCGTATTGCAAGACCCTCGCTCGTTTATCACATTAATATTTACTTAAAATTTTTGCTCGTCGCAGACCAAGCTACTCGCAATCCACGGTTTTACTGTTTTTGTTTGTGTTTGGATGATTTGTTTACCTTTCTTGCACTTGCACTGCTGTCATGATTTTTTACTTTTTGTTGCTGTTACGTTCTTACCCGCCCCGACGGGACATCTTGACAAAAGAGGTTAATAGCTCGTAGGGTCCCTACAGTATGAATATGATGATTCTGATTAAGTCGATAGGGCAGGTCGCGTGCGGTGGGTGAAAGCGTGAGTAATACCACCTCTCTCAAGATGTGTCCGAGGGTTTCTCTAGAACTCCCGCTCGAGGGAGGGCCCTTCATCCAGCAGTGGAACGAGCGAGCAATATGCAGGGCTGCAACCGCATCTTTCGCTATACTCGTGCACAGCTGACCGTCCAGTGATCGCCGTGCCGCGTTAGCTTCCCGTTGCTGAACGAGCACATTACCATAAGGTCGCACTTATTACACACAGTGCTTGCCACAAATGAACCACAATACCTTGCTCATCTCATCAAGGAGCATAAACCATCACGCGGGCTCTGGTCATCACAGCAACGGCTTTTGCTTAAGCCATCGAACAAAGACGGTTACTGCATCGCGTGCTTTTGGATGCGCCTCTGCGGCCGTCTGGAACACTTTTCCTGCCGATATTAGGAAGCCGCTGGAGCTATGCACTTTTAAATCAAGATTGAAAACTCATTTCTTTAACACTGATTTTTGTATTTAGTTGTCCTTCTCCTGCACCTCCGATTAGCACGGTTGGCTACGTACGGTGCAAAAGAAGTTGAACATACATACACAGTCAACTGATGGTTGGTTTGGGCGCCACGGTGGCTCGGAGATGTTAACTACCTCGCCTAGTATACAGTAGGTCATGGGTTCGATACCGACCCTGACGCCTGTTGTATATTTGGAGTTTGCATGTCTCTCTCATCATCATCATCACGGTGGCTATGAGATGTTAACTACCTCGCCTGGTATACAGGAGGTCGTGGGTTCGATCCCAATCCTGACGCCTATTGTATATTTGGAGTTTGCATGTCTCCCTCCTCATGGTTTCGATTTTTTCTCTGGGTCCTCCGGCTTTTCCCCTCCACATTTAGAATCAACATGCATTCGCATTATTTGGCTGATATACATTTCCGCATGATGATGATGATGATGATAAGCCACTCCGTTGAGCTATCATTTGTGATCGCCACATAGCTTAGCGGGCCTTACCCCCCCGGTAAAAAAAAAAACAATGGCTGCGCCCCCACCGTCGACCAACGCATGCACAGTCCTACGTGTGGCCCCGCTGCTTTCCGCTCGCTCGTGCATTAGCATTCCAGTCCCTGCGAACCGTTGGGATCTGTGTGCGTGTGTGCGTGCATGCGCCGCCCACAGCCTGATGAGAAGACCAAGTTCGATGGCATCTTTGATAGCCTGGGGCCGGCAAACGGCCTGCTGTCTGGTGAGAAAGTCAAGCCCGTGCTCATCAACTCGAATCTTCCCATGGAGGTGCTGGGCAAGGCAAGTTGCAGTGCTGCCATCACTTTCTCCTCCTCCTCCTCCTCTGCTGCTGCTGTTGTTGTTGTTGTTCATGGGCAGAGTTAAAGGTCTCTCCCCCGTGACGGTCGATGCGGGGTTAGTTTAAACTATGATGGGCATATAAAATAAAAACCCCTCAAACTATGACGGGTAGCCAAGTTGGGTTTGAGATAATGATGTTGAAATTGAAGGCATGCTCAACCAAATTATATTACATGTCATTGTTATCATCAGATATGATCAATCCACTGCTAGATGAAGGCAGACCTGAGGTCAATAATTTTTTTTTTGTCCTTCCCCTGCACCTCCGGTTAGCACATTTGGCTATGTACGGTGCGAAGGAAGTTCAACATGCATACTATCATCAACACATTGTTCGGTCATGTTCCAATTACATTATGATAGCATTTCATTATGAGTTACACCATTCCACTTGTAATTGACCCCAGGTGTGGCTTGAAGGCCTCCGTAAGCCATCACCATATCTAAGTGTAGTCACTTCTAATTAGAAACGGAGATATTTATAATTTTGTCAATTAAAATGAATTGTCACGCCTATGATATGCATCAAATTTATGCGTGGAAGAAGCAGTCCTCGCCACTTCCCGTGTGTCGTAATATTCACAACACTTCGCATGGGACAATGCACGGCAAGGCCAGAGAGGGAAATGACTTGAGTCAAATCACGATGCGGAACTGCGACAACTTGTAGACTCGAGGGGGGTTGAATTGTCGTAGACCAACCGTGAATATTTTACAATCGTTATTTGCAAGTTGGAAATGGAGCGAGGGCACAGTGGTTAGTGCCAACGCATTTTTACAATAAAAAATATATATATTTCAGTAGGAGCCCGGTTCACAGCACAACTGCGATGTAAGGACGCGTTGGGGGGGGGGGGGTGGGGAGGCAGGGGGAGGAGGGGGGAGGAGGGGAGAGTACAAAAACTTGGCGGAAAGAAGTCTCGAACACTGTGGTCCTGAGGAGTTTAGAGGAGGGGGGGGGGGGAGATTGAGCCCCGCTACTTCCCCACCGAGTGGGGACTGCGAGCGGGGTGTGTGAAATTTTTTGTGGCAGAGGGAAGAAAACATTAAAGTAAGGGAGTAGAGAGAAAGGGGGTGTGAGAGGGGAAGGTGTGGGCAAGCGGGCCGCAATGCATTTTTAATCTGAGCGGCCTGAGTTCGGTGCATGGCCATGGCTAACGTCAATTGTGAGCGGTAATTGAACTTGCCCTTGGGATTTCCTTGGCCAATCCGCACTGACCGGAATGGCTAATACGCGTGGTCAAACAGCCCCCACGATCAGTACGGCATGGTGATGTGGGGGGGGGGGGGAATGATCTTCATCGAGCAGTGGATTCACAAAAGGGCTCCAAATCGGTCGTCGTCATTTATGGGTCGGTTGGGTAAAGACGAAAGGTTTCAAAATGAATGTTCTCAGTTGCCCATTAGATCGGCAGCTTCCAAAATGTTTCGTCGACATTAATAATCAGAGCATGCCCGCCCTTGGTAACATAAAACCGTGTTCTTCATCCTTTATTCATATTGCTGCATCATAATTGAGGTATTGGTGTGAGTCTGAGACGTATTGATAGAGGCAAATATTGAGCATTTCAGCCACATGCTTAATTTATATATGAAAAAATCTTGCTGGTTTTGAATGCAATGTGATGTTGAGAATAGATCCATTTGTCGTTTTGCTTCGTTCTTGATGGATCTGAGAAGCATCAATAAGATGGTGTTTCACTTTTAAGTGGAATTCTCACCCAGATTCTGCACTGTTCACTGTGCTCAGCTTACGAACTTGGAAGGTCGTGAGAAAAAGGGGAAAAAATCATACAGCAGCATCGCCTCCTGCTGATAACTCACGTTGGAGGCCAGCGCTGCATTCACCCACCTTTTGCCGTGTAGGGACAGTTGCCACTGGGGATTCCCTTGGTTATACTGCCACGTGGCAATATAATGGCTGAGATGTGACGTTGAGGTGCTTTGAAATGCTGCGGAAATTAAGCGACTCGTGAATGCAAATCCTTACATCGTTGTTTCAGGTGGTGGTTGACTCAACTCTTCATTCTTTGCACAGTTGCGTTCTGCTTTGTTATAAGTCAACAGTGGCTAGATTGATTGTTCTCCACCATAGAGAAGTGGTGTTTGCTCTTCTGGTAAACAAGTCGTTGAGTGCAATCCCACATTTATTGAAGTGGAAAGCCACTTTAACAAATTTTTGAGTGTAATGATGGATATTAATTATGGGGTGAAGCCATGGCACAGTGGTTATCGCACACTGCACTATAAATGTAGTGAAATTAATTTAATTCCTGGCTCCTGCTCACATTGGTTAGCCAGGAATCAAACTCAAGTTTTGCTACGTTCGTAGTTGAGTGATAACTCAACCGGTTCTTGCCCAATCTCCGAACTTCACAAATTCGTACTGACCAGCATGGTGAAACGTAGACGAAAAACCCTCTTGGCTGACACGGCATGGCTGAGGCCTTCCTCCGGCAGCGGATGGAAAAAGGGTTCCAAAAAATATGGTTACAATACTTCAATGTTTTATTCATATTTTTGTTTTGTTTTCTTGCATGTGTCAGCTTTGTTCATTAGCGTGTTGATTTGATGAGGACTCCTGATTCCAGAGATTATTTACACATTCTGGAAAACAGTATCAGGCACTTATCAACAGTTTTAATACGAGAGCTGGCTTAGATGAAAGTCCCCGTCGCATGTTTAATCTTACCAAAGTTGTAAGTATATGTGGTGTCGGTAATTAAAATTTGTAATGTTCGCAGCCATCTGGAAATAATTTACAATTGTAAAAGCAGTATTCCTCATGTTAATTCTGCACAGACAGTATTTTGAAGTTTGGTTGTCAATGGTGCTTATGCCTTTGCATTCTTTCACATTCATACTGTTTCTTTTTTTGGGCGAAAGAAAATATATAATTTACGCATCTCTACATTGTAGCATGACAACTAATAAAGGGACGTGTGTGGTGGTGGGATAGAAGGATTGAGAATGGAGAAGAAAATAAAAGAGTATCTGGGGTAGAGCAAATAACGGCGTTTACATTTTAATATTATAGCGGTTGTCAGCTGTTTTAGACAGGGATATTGTTTGTTGCGCTGAAGTTGTGCTTGAGCGTGAATAAATAAAGTATTTCGATGCAATGTTGGTATGAGGATGAATAAAACAAAAGCAGAAAATAATCACATCCAAGTGAGAAAAATACTCTTTTTTGGCATTGTACGGGTGAGCCTTTGAAAGTGTTCTCCTGTGGCTTATGGGAGAGATTTGTAGATGTCTCTTACGTCTTTAGCAGATATCTACATTTTTATTAAGATTCATCTATACACGGTTGTGTTGTATATCTTATAAAAGTATTAAAAGACAATGCCGTGGTGTGTGTGTGGATGCCTTCATGTAATATTGGTAGATTAAAAACTGATGGAATTTACTTTTGTTTTATGATATTCCATGCGCTCGTTGCTGTAAATTCCATTGTGCTCATGTGTACGTATTTATGTTATGTCTGAATGTTTCGTTTTGTCATTCAGGTTTGGGACCTGAGTGATATAGACAAGGATGGCCACCTGGACCGTGATGAGTTTGCAGTGGTGAGTGTTTTAACCATCCTGCTGGGGAGTGTGATATGATGGCATTGAAACGTGAAAAAAATATATTTGGATGTAGAGAAAGATATATGGGTACGTTCTAGAGCAGGTTCAGGAGGAGAGAATTCGAATTAAAAAACAACCCTGAGAAGGAAAAATTTGTGGATTGGCCTTATTCACAGAGGTGAATGCTTAATATGAAGGAAGCTTGTGAATGATGCTGGGTAAGAGACCAAGAGGCAGATGACTGAAGGATGGTGGGTGGCCATCCAGTGAAATAAAGACTACAGGACAAGATTGGATGGAGGTTTCAGCCAAAAGAACTGCCATTGGACACACTGCGTAAAGTAGAAGAGAGGAGATAAGGTGACGATAGATGTGCATTGGCTGCAACATCTCCCATGTTTTAGACATCATGGACAAAGTGCAAATTAAAGTTACTGTACTGTGTTGACAGTGGCGTACAAACACAATCCAAAAGAACTCACCGCCTCCGTAATTACCACTGGCTTATAATGGGAAAGATGTATATCGGAAGGATATTGTTTATGGTGATGGCCTTTCTTCAGACCAGATCAAATAAATAATGTTTTCTCTTGTAAGGCAGTGTTAATGGCGATGGGCGAGATGTTGAACTTTTTTAATTGGCACGAGCAATGAGTCGTGCTTTCATAGGCCTATGTGTCATTTTCCGATTGAAAGCTTTCGTGACTGCAGGGATTCATATTCTTGGTTCTTTCGGTAAAGTCACCACGTAGAAGGGAAACAATAAAATAATCTTATATATAAAAGTCTCTGCGTGCGCGCGCTTGCGGGGGATTTGGCTCTCAAACGGTGGGGTTCAAGTCCGAAAAAAATTGCCGGGTGGCATCCCCCGAGCCCCCTGCTTGGTATAGGCTATTCCGTTTTCCCAGCCTTCAACTTAAAATTAGTTTAATTAGCGATTTAGCGAGATTTCGATTTATTTATTTATTGCGCGACATCGACCGTACCAACTCACGCCAATTGGGTGGGGGGGGGGCGGACCCTACCAAGTGATGTGCGTTCGGTCGAGCTCACTGTACTGACAGCCTTTCATGTCGACTGTATTCTGCTTTTTCAGCTGCTGCCCGTATTGGCAGCTTTTAATGTCCACTGTAGCAATGCTTATGTCATTGAGTCGGCGTACTGGCAGTCTATAATCTAGACTGTAGCCTGTTTCTCAACTTTCCTGTGCTTACTGCTGCTATTTCATTTACATCTATTTCAGATGTTTTTCTTCTATGCATTTCTATTGTTTCCATTGCTCACGTCCCGCAATGTACTGATATGTAGCACTGCGATGCTGATAGCTGTGCCATCATCGGGGATTGCTGTGCACGTCGATCTGTGTGTGTGTGTGAGTCGATGTGTGTGTTTGAGTCCATATGTGTGTTCGAGTCCATATGTGTGTTCGTGTAGGTCCATGCGTGTGCATCAGTCGCTGTGTGTGTGTTACTCCACGTGTGTGTAAGTCCATACATATGTGCTTGTCACTCGATGTGTGTAAGTCTGCGTGTGTGTGACTTCATGTGTGTGTAACTCCATGTGTCTGTATCCAAAGTATATGGCTGCGTATCAGAGTCCATATGTGTATGCGTGTGTACGGCAATGTGTGTGCCAGTCTATGTGTGTGAGTCGCTGTATGTGTGTCCGTCGATGCGTGTGTAACTCCATGTGTGTGTATCTCAAGTGGATGTCTATGTGTGTGTGAGTCCATATGTGTGTGTGTGTAAGTCGATATATGTGTGTGTGTGTGTCAGTCCATGTGTGTGCTTTATTTACCTGGTCAAGGCCTATGATACCATCAGTAGGCCTGGCCTCTGGGTTCTTCGTGCTTTCGGAGTCCCTGACCCTCTGCTCACGATCCTTAAAGACTTTCATGATGGTGCGCGGCCCCGCGTCAAACTACGTGGCTGTGAGTCAGAGCCATTCCCTTTACACCTTCGGGTGCAACAGGGATGTCTGGCTGCCACATTATTTTACATATATCTTTTTACCATGTACGTCGTTAATTCGTTCCAGAAGGTAGGGCTTTTACCCAAAGTGACGAATACCAAACTATTTTTTCCCTTAACAAATAAAGGGAAAGGAAATAATCTGTTCCAGAGTATAAGAAATGATATTTTGTATGGCATATTATATAGTAATGGGGTTGTATAACATAATGTAGACACTACTTATTACTAAAATGCATACATACATTAAAATAAATGCATAAATAAATTAAAATAAATTTAAATAAAAACAACATTTAACATCACTTTACCTTGCTCAAAATTCACGTTAAAATGACCAAAAACATGTGAAAATTCACAGAGTTATAGCAAGGGTTGTGCACTGAACGAGATCTACAGGCAAACTGAGGAGCGGTGCTTTGTTTCAGTCATGAACGTGGTATACGCGGGTACGCGGTGACTCATCCCGACCCATACAAGTTCTAGCAAGCGCATTGTATCCCAAGCAAGACGTATCCCAAGACATTTTTTTCTCGTCAAAACACGACATATACCAAATTCGACGTATTCTAAAGCGGGCGTATACCGGGGTATGACTGTAGTTCGGAGGAATTACCATCTGCTACAGATACAATGAGAGGCTGATCGATGCCCGGGTGCGGTCAAGGGATGCCACCCTATTGCTCGACCACGTTATGTATGCCGATGCTCTGGTGATTGCTGCTCACTCAGAGGAGGAGTTGGAGGCACTGCTGCTGAACCTGGAGCTTGCCACTAAGAGGTGGGGCCTTACCATCAGCCCCACCAAAACTAAGCGCCTGCCTGCGTATTTTGTACCTTGTACCACCGGACAATCCACCCCCACTACTCACAATTGGTGATGCGCCAGTTGTGCAGAGATTGGAGAGATTCCCATACCTGGCCAGTGTGCTCATGACCGTCTCCGGTTTAACAGCAGAGGTCTCACTCCAAATCGAGCGTCATCTTTTCATTGGCTGCATTACCCTGTGTGGAAGCTACCTGGTCTCTCGCTCTGCATTAAGCTCCAGGTCTTCTCGGCCACGGTAATTCCTTCCCTTCTCCACGTTTGCGAAACGTGCAACCCCTTTCTTCGCTGGTTAGAAACATTTAGGCTAGCCTGCTAACGATCCATCCTGGGTTTAACCAGGCTGCATTGTGTGAGGAGCTCACAAATCCTTGAAAGATGTGCACAAAGTCCCATCGGTGAGCTCCTCCGGCAGGCAAGGCTGCGTTGCCTGAGTCATGTAGCCCGCATGCCCAGCCACCACATGCCTAAACAGCTTTTGTTCGGCCAGATCGAGGAGGCTAATCAGGCGTGGCACGAGTTAGAGAAGAAATGGAGTGATGTGGTACAGGAGGACGTGGAGCTGACTGGACTTTCCGATAACTGGTACCATCCCTTTCAAGATCGGCCTCTGTGGAGGAGGTTCCTGAAGGACGCTACTGGGCAGTTGGAGGCAGTCGCCCTCCAACAACAACGGAGGGCGGAGGAGCGACGCTCACAACAACGAGCGGAGTGCCGGGTGGTTAAAGCTGACAAGTTGCCACAGTAGGGGGCACAGGTGGTAAATCAGCCAGTCGTCTCAGTCAGTCGACCTGTGCCATCTGGGTCTGCCCTGTGACCTCCTGCCAGTGAGCGTTTGACACTTCACGTGACCTCAAGGTGCACATAGCCTGCCACAAGCGTTGTGGTGATGTCACTGCCACTTAGTGGCGAATGGCTGTTGTTGTTGTTCAGTCAATGTATGTATATATGTGTGAGCCGATATGTGTGTGTAATTCTACGTGTGTTTGAGTCTATTTGTGTAACTACATGTGTGTCTAAAGTCGATGTCTGTGTGTGTGAGTCCATATGTGTGTGTGTGTGTAAGGCCATGTGTTTCTATGTGTGTAGGTCCATGTCTGTGTGTAAGTCCATGTGTGTGTCTGCCTTTTTCGCCCGGGCAACGCCGGGTATTTACCGCTAGTAAAAATATAAAACAATAAAATTCTCACGACGTTTTGACTGCAACACAAACAATCATCATCAGGTGTATAAACCACAGCAAGAAAATTTGAAAAAAGTGGTGGTTATTTTTAACGTTAGCACCACGGAGAGCGATTTGACAGTTTGTTCAGATGGACGAGTCCATCTATGTTCGGAAAAGAGGAGGGAGAGACGAAAATAATGGATGCTGTCTGAAAGCCACCATAAGCGTGAACAATCAATTAAGACTCGAAATGGTTTATCAAATCCTTCCAATGATTGTTGAGCCAAAATCCATCTTCTCGGTTGAAATTGTCTCTGTTTGTATATGTGGATAGCCTCAATCTCTCATGGTAGCCAGATGGCTTGCAAAGAACCTCTGTCTAGACAGAGGCTTGCAAAGAACCTCTGTCTAGACTCTAGACAGAGGTTTTTTGCAAAGAACCTCTGTCTAGACAGAGGTTCTTATGAGGCTATCCACATATACAAACACAGAGACAATTTCAACCGAGAAGATGGATTCTGGCTTAGCAATCATTGTAAGGATTTGACAAACCATTTCGGGTCTTAATTGATTGTTCACGCTTATGGTGGCTTTCAGACCGCATCCATTATTTTCGTCTCCCACCTCCTCTTTTCTGAACATAGTTGGGCTCGTCCATCTGAACAAACTGTCAAATCGCTCTCCGTGGTGCTAACGTTAAAAATAACCGCCACTTTTAAAAAAAATTCTTGCTGTGGTTTTCACACCTGATGATGATTGCTTGTGTTGCAGTCGAAACGTCGTGATAATTTTATTGTTTTATATTTTTATTATTTTATTGTTTCCCTTCTACGTGACTTTACCGAAATAGCCAAGAATAATACGTGTCATTGTTAAATATTGTTAAGTTGGTGAAAGTCACATCTCCAAAAATTGTATCGATAATTAGAATTTGTCTTGATGGCACAAATGTATACGGGAGTTTTATCCAAAAAGACGAGAAACATTTTGACGAAATCGTTTCAGGTTAAACCATTTTCTGAACATTCTAACCCGCTTCACTTAAAAAATATACTACTACAAACTCTCACCTTAAACGAATTCATTATGTAATGTACAGCCCTTTGTCAATCCACAGCTGGATTAGGACTCCCCCACGATGCATGTAGTAGGATATATTTGACCGTACTTGACCATGCTGGTTAGTACGGGTCGGTGACGAGGCGCATCGATGTGGGAGCTTAGAAATACGGTGCAATTCTTTTTGCCGCATGTTCCTCTGCTGCCCACCGCATATCCCTGTGGTTTTACAGCAAACTGTTGCGGATGGTCACTACCCATCCAAGCTCTGTCCAGACTCTGTCCTGATTTAGCTTCCGGGCTCTAAAGAATTCTGGTGCATTCTGGGTCATCTGACCGTGGTTTTATTGCACTTGCTCACATTGAGAGCAGTGTACGTACGTACATATGTATGTTGAACTTCTTTCGCACTGGACTGTACGTAGCCAACCGCGATAATTGGAGGTGCGGGGGGGCGGGGAAGGACAACAAACTAAGCACGAAAAGCAGTTTTTGTCGTTTACAAAAGCGTCCTTGAAAAACGACAGTCCCACCATTTCTATTTCGTTGCGACCGTGCGTCGTGTGCCGCCTGCGTCCGTTGAGGCCATGCACCTGGTGTATCGAGCCTTGGACAAGGAGCCTGTGCCGTCCGTGATCCCGCCCAAGCTGGTGCCGCCCGCCAAGCGCCCCTCTGCTGCCGCCGCCGGCGGAGGCGGCGTCAAGCACCCCGGGATGCTGCCCGGCGCCGTGCCCGTGCTGCCGTCGTCGCCGCCGCCCCCCCGTGACAGCCTGCGCTCCACGCCGTCGCACGGCAGCGTGAGCAGCCTGGCAAGTGGCGGGAGCCTCTCCCCCAAGCTGCAGCCACGCCTGGTGAGCACGGACGGTACCCTTCGCCCTTGTGGGCGTCTCCTGTGGTTGCTGGCTGCGACGGATAAACTAAAACTATAAACTGTTTTACGTTACCAGGTAAGGCCCCACTTAGCTGTACAGCTCATTTTTTCAGAAGCGACCTGGCTATCACAAATGATAGCTCAACGAAGTGGCTTATCACATGGAAATGTATAGCAGCCAAATACTCTAAACGTGGGTTTATAAACGTGGAGGGAAAAACCGGAGGACCCGGAGAAAAATCCACGCTACCATGCGTGTATTTTTATAGTAGGCGAGGTATTTAACATCTCGCCACCGGATATTGTCACAGTGACGTCGCGGTTAGCGCGCTGGGCTTGCAGTCCGGAGGTCGCCGGCACGATTTCATCTGCTGCCGGGTCGGTTAAAAGGATGGTGCAAGTTTGAACGTACGTATTTATGAATGTTGAACTTCTTTCTGACTTTACGTAGCCAACCGTGATAATTGGAGATGTGGGAAGGACGCCTCTGGTCCACCTGGCAGTACACGTGGGTGTACCACAGCCGATCAGCAGGTCGTGTGTGGTGGCGTTGTGTGGTGGGTGTTCCCACCTTTCCCAAGACGTAGGCTACCCTCCAGAGTTACATTCTAGAGCTGCCCCTCGTGACATGGCTAACGCTTTATCCCATTGGTTGTGATAACCACAAAGCCCCGAAACCAATCGTTAAGAAACTTACAGTTCACCAATACGAGTGCCCAGATCTGCATCGTTTGTGGCTGAGATTGACAACAAAATACAGTTAAACCTTGGATTGCGAGCATAATTCGTTCCGGAAACGTGTTTGTAATCCAAAGCACTCGTATATCAAAGCACTCGTATATCAGTTGTGATCACGTGACGCTCGGCAGACAACGCGTCTATACGTACTGCTACTCGTATTGCAAGACCCTCGCTCGTTTGTCAAATTAATATTTATTTAAAATTTTTGCTCGTCTTGCAAAACACTCGCAGACCAAATTACTCGCAATCCAAGGTTTTACTGTAATTCCAAGCGAGTGTTTTTTTTAAACTTAAAATTGTCAAAGTTACATGGTACAACACAGTTAATGTGCCAGTTCGTTATGCTTGTGTAGTGACATCGGGGATGTCCGCGACGTAAGTACGTCGCACGCCACGGCCCTCCCGGGCTGGCACCATGCAGTGGCATCGGGGATGGTACTGCGCTGGGATAGCGCGGACACCGCGCATAGCGTGTTGTGGGGGTTCCCACAAGGGGGATCGGGTGAGTGTCAGCCCAGGGACAGGGTTGCCCCGGGCCATCGCACTCTGGTTGACCCCATAGACACGTGATCCGGAGTTTCCACAGAAAGGGCCCCAGGTGGGGGGAGGGGGCAGGGGGTAATCACGTGTCCAGGGAGAGCTCTCGAGAGGGGGCTAGAACGCTCGAGAAGGTGGGCGGGGCCGAGGGCGGAGCCGGCCCCGACCCGGGAGGATATAAGGTGGGTTCCTGAAAGGGACCGGGGTCGCTTCGTTCTACAAGCTGGAAGCTCCACGTCTACAAGCTGGAAGCTCAACGTCCTACGAGGCATCAACACGTGGCCGGTGACCCGAGTGAGGGTCCGACCCTTCGTAGCTGTAACTCCTACGTATAGTGTAGTTAGCTGGGTGGTCACCACCCTAGGCTGTACCTGAGGGGCAGTTACCCCTTTGTGTCAACGTGTTACGAATAAATGTGTAGAAGAATAACGTCTGTGACTCAGTTGGACTCACTACACTTGTGTTACAAACGCTGCTTTTTTTGGCATTAGCTGCTGCTTGTTGGTGTTGTTCTTCTAGCTACCGATGCGGTGGTAATTTTCTCGTTGATTCGCTGCTCGTGGCTCTTGTTTCTATGTTGTCTCTTGCAGCTGCAGCAGACGCACACCACCTGGGTCGTGACGCCGGCAGACAAGATAAAATATGACGAAATTTTCTTGAAAACCGATCTGGACATGGACGGCCTTGTGTCTGGCCTGGAAGTGAAGGACATTTTCATGCAGTCGGGCCTTCCGCAGGCTGTCCTCGCTCAAATCTGGTCAGTGCCTCTCGTTTAGCGGAATGCCTTGTGTGTCCGTGCAGGTTTACACACGTGACTTTGTGTGCACAATTGGACTCTGAACGAAGCCGTATGAAATAAGTTGGCGTTTGATCACAGGGTGGTTGGCATTCTGAGACGAATTCTCGGAGTATTGTGACAATTTCATGGCAAGGCAGGATAAGAAATGCTTGGAAGAGAGAACATAGCTGGTCAGTGTTGTAGACATGGTAAGCGACAACAATTACACCAAGTGAGACTTTAGGTACAGCCGTGGGAAAGGCCTTAACGCGTACGACAAACAGGGAGCAGACCGAAGGCCCGATGTTGGGATACTTTTGAGGGCGGATCTTGGAGGTCACGTGTCTGCTGGACAGTAGCTGCGGGACCTGGAGAATTGGTGAGGTGTTGTTGGAATGAACGGCTTTATCCATGATGGAATCTTGAGTCTGTGTGCACAATAACAGACAAAAGATCCCCCGTATAGCCTTGTCAGACTGTTGGGGCAAGTGCTGTTAGCGAGCACCTATGAAGGTCGGCACAGCACACGAGGGGGGTGGGTGGCCAGCACCACGCCCTGCTGCCTTTGTCTCCCTAGTGGCGATGTTTACACACCGCACCAGGTACTCGTTTGAGGCTGAGTCGACCTAGGGGAGGCCCAGAACCGGTCAAAAATTATCGTCACTGGTGTTGGCCGTGAGCGGGAATTGAACTCCGGTCGCCGGGTACATAGTACAGCGCGCTAACCGCTACACGATGGACACCTACTGTGAGCAGGTGCTGCAATTACATTACAACCGGGCAGTACAGCAGCATGTGTGTGTGCTATGAGAATTAATGGAGCCACTCTAATCTGTTATTGATATTGTCATTGTTAACCCATTTGATGTGTTTTTCTTGTCAAAATAACTTCATTCGGCAAGACAGTAGGGTTTTTAGACTGAAATATGGTCCAAAGCATGCTTATCACAATAGTTTCACATCCAGAATATTCACAGTGAAATTCTATGCGATATTTTCTGACAAGTGGATTGAATCAATAAAGGCATAAAACATCGAGGAAGTATTCGTCATTTCAAATTTGCTGACAACAGTATTTGTCATGAATAATAAAAATGGCCTGAAAGTAAATATGAGTAAAACAACATTCCCCGGCAATAAATTGGCTTAACAACGTTAAATAATTGTGTTTGTAGGGACACAACTGGAAAAAACAGGCAGAATGTTTACTTACGGTAATTATTACCGGTAGATCGGGATGAGAACGAATAAAGAGATTGGGGGAAACAGCAGCAGATTGTCGAAAAAATATATATTTGAAAATGAAAATCAACCGAACGTGCTTGAAGAAGGAAGGAAGGACGAGGTTTCCAATTGGTGCACATTACCCACTACGACGTACGGATCACACGTCCGAATCAAGGACAGTGACAATGACTAGAATGAGAAAGCGTGCAACTATGCAGAAGATGCACGGAGAGATACGTGCATTGAATTGCACTCAAAGGCAGATAAGAAGGAACACTTGGAATCGGGGAACAAACGTTGTACGAGACATAAACTTAACTGTTGAAATTAGAAAGTGGGTTTTTTCAAGACGCATAGCTCGAGGAGAGTTTGCCCGCTGTGGACATGGAGCAGCGATATTGTCGTGTCGCAGGGCTGTGAGGAATGGTGACGGCATGGGGAGGCTTTCACCCATCAGTAGATAGACCATGGCTGTTGATGATAATGGTTATGAAAAAAAAATCAGTGATTCATGCAAGAGGTGTGCGCGTTTTTATGCAGACACAGGAGCCAGATGGATAAGGTGAACTTGGCTTGTGGGACAGTCGAGTTTCGGAATGAATAATAATTCTCCCATTAGTGTGATTACCTTTTTTTTGGGTGATCTCAATCTGTTCTTCATTTACTCTATCTGGCCAGGTGGCAATGTTGTGAGAGCACTCGACTCACAATTGGATAGTTGTGAGTTGAAATCTCGGTTGGGCGTTGACTCGTTCCACCCATCATTCCTCTGGGGTTAGTATATGAGTAACCACTTTGTGTGAAGGCACGAGTGGTCACAGTTTGGATAGACTGGCTCCTACCATGGAAAATGTGGGAATTTCCACGATGTAGTCACGGCTGCCATCAGAGATGCACCTCGTCACACTGGCGAATGGGGTAACATGTGTGTTTTTCTGGATAAACGTGGGTGTGCATTTGATGTATGGGATGTCCATGAAGGTATCATCCCCTACTAAAGCATTTTAGTTGCACAGCTCTTTGAACTAGGTTGATAAAACGTGTAAGAAGAAAGGAAAATATTCCCCATTTAGCCTTTTATAGATTGTTGGGGCAAACACTGTTTGTGAGCACTTATGAGAGGGGGTGGGTGGCCAGCACCACGCCTGGTTGCCATTGTTTTCTCTTCAATGCTCATATTAAGCACTGCACCAGGTACTTATTTAAGGTGGAGATGACTTAGGGGGGAGGCCCAGGACCAGTTCAGATATTCGTCGCCGATGTCTGCTGTGAGGGGGAATCGAACTCGAGTCGCAGCGTTTATAGTGAAGTCTGCCAACCGCTAGACTAACACTCCCCATCATAAAACTACAAAGACAAACGCTCGGTGGTGTGAGGAATTTATTGTATAAGAATCGTCCCTCTAAAGTTACTTTGACGTTTCGCTGTTGACATTCGCAATGGGGGCAGTGTGTCGATTTGAGAGTCACAGGTGAACGGCAGCATCTCAGAGGCGCGATTATATCGAATGCTTTTGTTATGTGCTGTTCAAAGATCACTCATGCTGTTCAGTTTAAAAAGGATAAATGCATCAGTGATACGTTTGCTAGCTAAACGTTGGACACCGTGACATTTTGTCTACACGGCTAGTCACCGCCGTGCCTGTCAGATATGCGTGTGCCACTGGCCGACAACGTACGCCGGTGATATCTTCCGTCCACTCATCACAGAGACGTAGTCAAGCCAACCAAGACAGACTCCTATGTGGGCCACGTACTTTCAAAGGACAAATACGCCCCTCTCAAAATGAGAGCATTAGCCCGAGAACCCACTTGCTACCTCACAGCCACGCAGCATGCAAGAGATGTTTTTAAACATCATCGCGTCTTTTTTTAAATGTCTAATTGTTATTGTCATTATACCGAACAACACGCTGCACAACCCGAAAACATCGGAGAGAAAAAGCTGTAATTTTTTGTGTAACTAATTGTGTCTTATCTACGGGACCCATTTTTTTACAATTGCATGTATGTATGTACGTTGAACTCTTTCACACCTTACGTAGTCAACCGTGCTTATTGCGTGTTGCGCCTGCAGGGCCCTTGCGGACACGAGGCAGCAGGGCAAGCTGACGCAGGACCAGTTCGCACTGGCCATGTACCTTATCACACAGAAAGTGAGCAAGGGCGTGGACCCTCCGGTGACGCTGAACGCCGACATGATGCCCCCCTCAGAGCGCGGGGTCTCCACCACGGTAGGACATAACCCCCCCCCCCCTTCACCACCACCACTTCCTTTCTTTATATTTAAAAGTTAACAAACATCAACAAACGCAAGCACAGGGAAAGCACGGAACGCAGCTTTGCGAACAACCAGCATAAACAAGCGGAACAATAGAGACCTCCCCCCCCCCCCCCCCACCTGGGCATGATGTAGGAAACAATAGGAAAGCAAGAAAAAGGGGAAGCATACGGAAAAGATAGACAAGAGGAAGGAAATAGTGGCGGGCGGAAAGTACAAAGTGCGGGTAAGGGACTATTTTATCTATTCTTGTTCTCCGCGGAACGTCTCACTGAGTCTCAAGAGCCTTGTCAGCAGGGGTCCCATCCTCATGCAGTAGGGGATGATGTTGCTTCGTGCGTCATCGGGATGTATGGACAATACCAGTATAATATTACACGGCTAAACAAATAAAACTTGATTAAGTTGTCTACGACTTTACCTTGAACTTGTGGGGAGGAAGCCGGAGGACCTGAAAGAAACCGACGCGGATCAGAGAACGTGCTAAAAACGTCACGCGCTAAAGCGCCCGAGTCGGGAGTTGAACCCGTGCCCTTCTCGCTATGAGGCATGAGTGTTAACCACTGCGCCACGTTGCCGCCGAAATCGAGACCAGTCAACAAAAGGGGACAAAGTCTTCCTCGAGAATCTTTCGTGATCTCTGTGACAGTCCCCCTCGATGTTCAAGGACGGATAGCTCACGTGTTAGATTCAGCCATTCCCACTTGCTTGCTGCGCTCTCGCGTCGTTGAGAAAGTGGGGTCGCATGTGTCATAGGTGGCCTGGCAAGCGTGCAAATTAACTTGGGGAGGTGTGAGCTGATCTTTGTCGGGGCTGAAGGAAGAATTGCGGCTCTTAATCAGAGCTCCGGAATGGTTTTAATTGAGGAAGTCGTGGCCGCGAGCTTAGTGGGTAGGAATAACGCTTGGCGTCCGACAATTGCTGAACTGTAGAAAAGGGCAATTATAATTAATAATTGAACGGCACTTTTTAACACTTTTTGAGTTGCCCACTGCAACGGTGTTATAAAAAAAAAAACAATCTAATTGGAAATTGTAAAGGGTACGTGCACGGCAGTTTTGTAAATCTACTGCTGGATGAGTGCCTCCTCTTGCCTTGTGGGTCGGTGGGGGTTAATTGACCATGCTTCTCCACACCGGTCAATTGCGAAGCACAGGTTTTGGAATGTATTCGTACAGTGCAATCATTAGTTTGCCCACTGTAAGTTAATTTTAATAACACTTTTCTGCTGCCACTAGACCTTAACACAGAAAGCAGTGCACTAGTTAATTGCTATATCAGTCGTAGTTAAGAGGTCAGATTTGCACGGTTTAGTCCCTAAGTAAGGGCATGTTTAAGATGAATTTCAGTAACCTAGGACATTGACAACTGAAGCATTTGCCGCCGTTCAGACCGCCCCAATAATGGTGTCGGACAACAAAGAGAGAGAGAGAGAGAATTCACTGTAGCATTGATTTTCTTTCTTTGTTAATGTTCTGGAAATAAGGTGCAGTAAATGTAATGTGTGACAATAGACTGGAGGGAAGGGGACACGCGCCGCCGCTCCTGGTTTCGGGCTGCCGGGTGTTGCGGGTTCTCCGGTGAGCGACCTCGCTCAACAGGACCACGTGTTTGGCGTGAACGGATGGCGCGTGAGAGTGACAAGTGGCTCTTCACGGAAATTTGCAATCGGGTGCGACATGAAGCAGCGAGCCTGGTTCGCGGAATCCGTCGAGTGTCTTGTAAACTAAACAAATTTATTTTCCCAATTGATATCTCAACGAAGTGGCTTATTTGGATATTTCGAGCAGCCGAAAACTCTAAACGCGTGTTTTTAAATGTGGAGGGAAAAACCAGAGAACCCGGCAACAGAGTCAGGATCGAACCTACGGCCTTCCATATACCAGGCGAGTTAGTTAACATCTCGCCACTGTGGCAACTGAATTACAGCTCTTTTTATATTTGGCTTTCTGATGGACCAGAAACACCAAAAATTCACAGGTGCCCTCTTTGGCTCACCTTGCAACACAGCTTTGAATAGAGTATGGCTCATTCTAAGGAAACTCACTGGCTGTGTGCTAGGGATGCCCACTCAATATGCATGTGGGAAAGGGAAGTTTCAGTTTTCCCGGATCACATATTCCTCTGAATTTCTTACTTTTCGTTTAAAAGTCAACAGCGGAGAATGCCTTTCTGCTCTCTTCATATCTACAGCTTCCCGTCCGCCTCGTCTTCTTTGCACGTCAATGACTGTCGTGCATTTTTCAACTGCGTTGAGCACCCAGTAAATATTGAGCGGTTGTCTTTAAACCGTCAGTGGTTTCAGTTTTAACAGGCAAAACAAATGAAACCTTTAGGTATGACCTTGTAAAATAACGAACTTGAGTTTTGAGTGGCACCCCAGTGTACGTGCTTGGTGATGCCGCACCTCCGGTTAGCATGCTTGGCTACATACGGTGCGAAAGAAGTTCAACATACCTGCATGCCACGCCTCCGATTAGCACGGTGGGCTATGTACGGTGCGAAAGAAGTTCAACATACATCCGTACGTACGCGGTGTAATGCTGAGCACACTGGATTTGCAATCCAGAGGTGTCTGGTTCTATCTCCCGGCATGGCAATAAAAACATTACCGCAAGTTTCACAATTTCACCCCCCCCGCCTCTGTCCAATCGGCAGTGTAATTGGGTTACACCACAGTTTGTCGATCAGCATGGCACGCGTGGTGGGGTAAAGTGTGGGTACTACTACCTCTTTTAACACGTCTGGCCATTGTGGAAGAGTAGGCCAAAATACCATCTATGGAGGCTTTATTGAGCTCCCTATGGTGGAGGCCCTTTTGCCACCAGTGGCATGAGCAAGAAATTGCCGGGCTGCACCTTTATATTTTATTTTCCTTTCTTGGACAGAGACATATATGTGTGCCAGTTTATTGAATCCGATTTTTTGTCTTCCTCCAGGTGTAGTGCCTGCTTACAGGAGTCTGGAATTTGTAGCACTTTTTTCTGGGTAAACAACAGCGAACAGGAAATACCCCGATGCTTGATTTCAACATTCCCAAGTTATAAATGTTCTCGAAAACCCAATTAATTATCTTGAAGCTCAAAGACATCGCACCATTTCCATGGCATTTACAGTTCGCGCCAATAATAGTCTTTGAGTTCGCCGCTCCATCAGACTCGATTCTTAAATTATATAAACGAACTCTTGTACTCGCGTTGACGCACGCTGCAATAACTTTGCATTTAAAAGACGTAAAAAAAAGTTAAAAGTGGATAGACTGGAAAAAAAGACGTTGATTACAATGTGGTAGTTAACCAACACTACTTTTTAAAGCGCATGACAAGCTAATATTTGGGCAATGGGCCTTATTTTAAATTGACACGTTACGCTTGTCTGAAAGAGGGAGATTACCGGAAGCTAAAAGCTTGTTTTGTTTTTTTACACGGTAGTCCTAGTTAATTGACGATGGTGGTAAAATATTCATCGGCCTGAGCTTCACCATTGCTGCTGTTGCGGCAACGTTTTACTTGAAGCGATACTATTTAATTATATTTTTTTACTAGGTAAGGCCCCACTTAGCTCTATCGCTTTTTTTCAGAAGCGACCTGGCTATCAAAAATTATAGCTCAACAAAGTGGCCTATCATGGCGAAATTTATAGCAGCAGCCAATTACTCTAAACTCAATGTTTTTAAATGTGGAGGGAAAAACTGGAGGAACCACAGAAAAATCCACGTGAACACGGGGAGAACATGCAAACTCCAAATATACAGCAAGCGTCAGGGTCGGGTTCGAACCCACGACCTCCTGTATACCAGGCGAGGTAGTTAACATTTCCTAGCCACCGTAGCACCCCAATAAAATAAGAGGTGGCTGTTGATAGACGAGGTGAGTTGACGTCAGGCGATGATGGGACAAGGTGCTCGTCGTACACACTTGGACGGCCTCCTTATCCCCTTTTCCACTGGCACTTATGAGCCGCATTAGCGTTGGGCCTTGACGGGTACGGTTGGTGATCTAAAGCTGGACATTGGAATCTTACTTGTGGCAAAGCAGGGCCCGGGGTGGGGCTAATGATGTGTTCATTGTGTGAGTGATGTCAGTACAGGGACTCTACTGTTCGTAAGAGGTCTGTTCGTAAGTCGATTTGTTCATGAGTCCATCTTTACTCCTGTCAATTCCAAACATGTTGTACGACGTCTACACTAAACACGGGAATGGTTTGAAAAGTTGTATAATCTCCTTTAGATGTAGATGCCACTGGTTCTTCATGTTCTGTTGATGTAAATGTGACCACCACCATCTATTGCACGGCCGTTGAACCTACGACTCTCGGTCCGAACAGGCAACTGGACATATACGGACAGGTTTGTTCGTATCTCTGAAAGTTCGTAAGTCGAATGTCCGTAAGTAGAGGAGTGCCTGTACTCTGTAAGGACACGGTGTCGTTTTGTGACGTCAGTCAGTATGCTGTGAGGAGGCAGCCTGACCGCGTCATCTACGTGCATCTCGACTCGTTGATTGCGCACGATGTCGGCGGCGCGCCACTGCTACCGGAGTGGATAAAATCGACCTGGCTCCTCCCCTGACACACACGGGGCTGACTCGTCACCTCCCTGGCGCAGCTCAGTCGTACGGTGGCAAAGAGGCGTTAGTTCTGCGGGCGTCATTGCTCGCGTGTTCTTTCCATGCGTGCGTTCTTCAGGACGGCGCAAGTGGCGTGGGATCGGCCGACTTCTCCGCCATCAAGGAACTGGACGCCATCAGCGCAGAGATCACCGAGCTACAGCGGTAGCACACGCAGGCCGCCACGTGACTCTCGTCGCAACCATTGCACCGGCAGCAACATGAACAAACAACAACCCAAATTTGCATCATTAGACCTCCTTTTGCCAGTACCAAAATGTAATAATAGGGTTTTTACCCTTTTTTCTGGCAACAAAACTGAAACCTTTTTTTACAAGGATTCATGTCTGCATTAACCACAATACCTGCAGTCAAAATGCAAACAAAAAACATACTATGATAATATATGCATTGTCCTTGAAACTGATTGGTCCACACCAAGGGACGGCTTTCTTTTGAGCCTCGACCCAATTGGTGCTCGACCAGATGACGCTAAAAGGCGTACGCAATTGGGTCGAGGCTCAAAAGAAAGCCGTCCCTTGGTGTGGACCAATCAGTTTCAAGGACAATGCATATATTATCATAGTATGTTTTTTGTTTGCATTTTGACTGCAGGTATTGTGGTTAATGCAGACATGAATCCTCGTAAAAAGGTTTCAGTTTTGTTGCCAGAAAAAAGGGGAAAAACCCTATTATTAACCCAAATTTGCTATCACAGCACAGCGTTGCGCATCCTCGTCGTCACATATCCGCAATGAAATATTCGCCGCCCACACGCCCGCTGCAGTGTCTTGTGCAGCAGTGTAACTGTCATTCTCTGTGGATGTTCAAAAATCCAAAACTTTTCACACCCGGTAATGTTCTTTCGTCCTGCATGGCATTCGCTTACTTGTAAAGCATCTTCTCACGTCTGAAGCAATTTACACTGAATTTTTTGTCCATTAACCTCTTTGTGCGCGATTGTGCAAATGTCATTGTCGATAAATGTTCACACATCCAGCCTTTCCACATATCCCGCACGTGCCTCACTCTCCGGCGAGTCAGATATGCGACGATGTACCGTACTCTACAGCGTTTTTTTGTTGTTGTTGCCCATGACCTGTCTCCACCCCCACACCTTCCCGCGATTACTAGTCATCGGCTGTGTGCGGCGAGCAGAGGCTTTAACGTGAAGCTTGAACTAGAAAATGTTGCTCATCACAAAGAAGAGCACTACGGTGGTGGGGGTCGCAAGGGCTGGAGTTGAGGAACACTGCTCTCTAAATACAATAACATCTAAGCCAGGGATTTTCAAACCCCAGAATCAATGTCCACCTTGCCGCCTTCACGCATCTGAGGTCTATCTCCCATTCATATGGAAACGGTCACAGTGTGCATACGCTTGCATTTGATGATGCGTTGAAATGAAAACCTTCATCGTGGGAAGGATGCGAGGAATTTCGATTTGTGTCGTTGCTTTTCAACGTCCTCCCTTTGAAGAAATCTACAAAAGCACGTCTTCATGAGTTCATGTGGAATTCCACATAATTTTGTAATGGGCCACTGTGTGCCTATAATTGAATACGCTGTTATGTCTACCCTATCGTGTCGCTGTATAATCATCTCTGAATGTGATGGAATCTCATGTTTTGTAAAAGCAGGCCGGATGGTATATTGTATATATATTTTTCTGAAGGCAATTTTCCTTACCCGTTTGTCCATTTATACTGTGGCCATGTAATCATTCACATTTGGAAAAAAATACCCAGCAGGAATAGTTTTTTTTCCTCTGAAAAATAAACGGATGCACTAGACATATCTGATGCATTAGAAAATGTGTAATTAGATTTCAGTCCAAAACAATCCTTATATGGTTAAAATGCATTTAAACAGATGGTGTAAATTATACTAATTAAAAATTTTTTATTTACAGAGGTGTTTCGCCAGATAATTAATGGTGGGACTCAGATAAAAAAAAACAAGATTAATTATTTTAAAATGGTAATAGAGGGAACAAAGGCAGTTTGTTGGCAGCGAGGTGTTCCGCCAGATGGGATCGAGTCCAGATCGCTTTCAAAAACAATAATAATACTCTAATGAAAATACAATAATAATCGTAGTAGTAATAATCATATTTTGTACGCCTTTGTGAATACATTTCTGGATAAAGGTCTGCCCATTCTGGGTCAGTCATGCAGCTGTGTTTGACCATACTTCGCCACACTGGTTCGTGTGGATTGGCAAAGGTGTTAGAATTGATTGTTTTTTTAACGCAAATATGTACTGACTTAAGCGATTCTCCCACGAACAAGTTAACACCTTGTTATCGCTAGCACTGGTTTAAATTGATGGATCCATGCCTAGTAAATCCACCAATGTGGCCTCCAAACCATTGTAATAACACGATCATGCTGCTGATGATGTGAACTTATTGTACTTGTGGATGGATTATGATGCACGCTATGTTTGTTTCTCTTTTACCTGTTGTGCAATCAGAGAAAAAGCTTCCTTGGAGCAGGACATCCGCGAGAAGGAAGAGGCCATCAGATACCAAACCAATGAGGTGCAGGTACTATGATTGCGCAGTGAGTGAGTGTTCACTTGCGTCTATCGATGCCCATGGAGCAAATATGTTTAGTCTCCTCTGTTAGTGTATTCATTGGCAAGGAAGTGGATATATAATAATAAAGCTATTTTTTTTTTACCTAGAAATTATTTTCTAGCATGTGGGAGGATGCCGGAGCACTCGGAGAAACCCCATACACATCATGAGATGACACTACTCAAAGCTCCATGCAGATGGATTCAAACCACAGACAGATTCGGCTCATTGAGTGCAGAAGCTCTGCCATCTCCTGACGCATCTCAGCTGCCTCAGCCCCTTGAGTTGCTTGACCATATTTTTTCTAAACTGGTCAAGTGGGGGTAGGTAAAGTGGGCTCCCAGTACCGGTTCAGATATCACTAACCGCTCATATTAGATGTGGCTGATATTTTAACTTGGGTCGCTGGATTTGTAGTGAAGTGCGCTAAACGCTGCACCACCGCTGCCCCCTGCCGTACATCAAAGGTTGATAAACACAAGTGCAATTTTTTGCGTAGTTCTGCAGACTTTATTAATGGATGACCAGACAGCAACACTGGAGTGGTCTCCGTGAGTGGTGAACAAGGGGACGACGAAGACGAGATGGTTGGGAGACTCGGAGCAGAACTGGGAGGTCGCATGGCTTCAGTGCAGCAGCTGCAGTATCTGCCGGAAGGTGGCAAGCTTTGGCGCGGTGCGGTGACATCAACGGCTTTGGGCCACGATGTCATCTTGATCTTTAACAAACAAAATAGTCTGGGAAGGCTTTTGAAGGGGGCAGCTTTTTTTTTAACCCTTTCCAAGACGTCTGCAAGTTTGCAGGACGGGTGTCCCGTTCACCGCTGAATCTCGGAACGTGCAACCGGTGCAGCGTTAATTTAATTTAGATAGGCGTAGCGCCATCGTTTGTAAAGACATTGTACTCACCGCAGAGAACTGTAGCAACTCGACCACCACACTCTACGATAGCTGACGCCAAAGTGTGCCACACGCCCCTCCCGCTTGGCCTTGTTGGAGCCTCAGAATGCCTTCCGGCCTGAAGACTTACCGATAAAGTTGTATTTGGTTATTTTACTTCAGTTTTTATTCCGATTCCATTCCAGTAATGTACGCGTGTATGTCATCAGAATGGCAAAGGGTTAATAGAGAAGGGGTACACGGGGAGTGGAACACAACATTACAGCAGCAGACACCTGTCTGGACTCAAGTACATGCTCTGCTGCTGCTGTTTAACATGTAAATGGAATGTTTTTGTTTTAATGTAATAGGAAACACCAGCTGTACAATGTGTTCCTTTGTTGGCGATAACAGTTGTCATTACCTTACGTGTGAATTAAATTACATCCAAATTGTTACTTTTTAAAATAGTTGGTAAATTTAATTGGAAATTAACTTCAAATGTATATTTTTCTTTATGCATACATGCGTGTGCATTGGCAGTTTTTCTTGGCTTTGCCTTATGTATATATATACAGGTAAAGGTGCAGCCTTGCAGTGGCTATAATAGATGGCAATGCTTGTAATACATGCATCGAATCTTTCCAGCAAATGTTTTTTGCTCATTTATGATGGTTACCTGTAGGCTAATGGGGCAAGCAACGCAGAACAAACTAGGCAGAATGTGCCTTTTCTTGAATTTAATATTCCAGTTTTTTCAAATATTTGATTGCAAAACACGCAGACACGCCAAATAAATGCACGCGCGCAAATAGGAGCATGCAAATAGAAGCGCATACGCACGCAATAACTCATAGATGGCTGCGCACATTTACGCACACACACGCGTAATAATAATAATAATTTACATTTATAAAGCACCCTTAAACAATCGTTCTCAGGGCGTACATGCACACGCAGCCATAAATATGCAGGCGCAAATACAATCGCGCAAAACACACAACAACACAACACAACATACAAATTCACACACAGACAAGCTCAATTTAGAACTGGCACAATTTAATACAGTTAACGGCACAGAATATATAAATTATTGGTGAGAGAGCGAGATGCGCTTGGTGAGAGAGCGAGATGCAACATGGAGAGGCACCAGAGATTAGCCAGAGGTGGGGAGAGAGATGGATGCAAAGTGAGAGAGACATGAGGACAGAGTGGCATGGAGAGAGACAGAGAGAGATATGAGGTGACCAGATAACAGGCACCTGGATGCAGAGACGGAAGGCGCAGCTATGAAACTATGAACTTTTTTTTTATTTTACCAGTTAAAGCCCACTGAGCTGTATATCTCTCCTTTCAGAAGCAACCTGGCCGCAAATTATATTCCAATGAAGTGGCTCATCATGTGGAAATTGTATAGCTAAGGAAGGAAAGGCCAGAGGACTCGGACAAAAATCCACGCGGCCACGGGGAGAAGATGCAAACTCTAAATATATATGCATCGTCAGGGTCGGGATCGAACCCACGACCTCCTGTATACCAGACGAGGTAGTTAACATCTCGCAACCATGGCGCCCCAGACTTAAACGAAATGGAAATTGTGATTGGGACACGAGGAGAGACATGTTAAGAGAGTCCGGGAGAGAGAGAGACAGGAATAGAGAAACATGAGAGATCGACTGGAGGAGAGACTGATAATGAGACTCAAGGGAAAAGAGATATGGGGAAAGAGACGAGGAGAGACACGAGGTGAAGGATATGAGGAGAGACACCATAACACACTCGCCTTGCACTTGGTGAAGGGGAGGGAGTTGCAGCAGTAGCGGTGACATGAGGTCATAAAGTAGGGTAAAGGTCGGAATAGGCCAGGAGGTCACTAGAGGTTAGTTCAGCAGTAGCCAATTATGGTGGCTATTAGTATAGGTAAAGAATGAGTTATTTTGTGTGGATTTTTGTTGTTTAATGAACGAAGTCCAATTTATTTCCACCCGTGTAGAATGATATGACGCGTGCGAATAGATGAGGTGTGTATGCATTGGAATAATCCCGTGTTTGTTTTTTATTAAACAGATAAGCCATGAAACAAGAAGATAATTTCGATAGTTTTCATTGTTTGATTCACCCCCTACTTAAATGGAACTATGCCCCAGTCTGATAACTTGCAGGATCATTGGGTTGAGTGGAGGAATTGTTACTTGCCTGCAAGCCAGCCCCACTATACATCGTTTAACATGTGTACTCGCCATTCCACCTATGGTGGTGAACGAGCTAGCATCCTCGAATTCAGCCACTCCTGAAACCCTCGGATTCCCAGGGGCACAGTCACTGTAGGTTCCGTGGGTATCCAGACACCCTCAATATTTTTTTAGGCACAGCTAAGATATGCCCACAGACTTTTTTTGGACATAAATCCAGTTTTTTATTGAGTCCATGTTTTTACTCAACTTCAACATGCCCGCAAATGCTGATTGACTATGATGCTGACAGAAACTTCAGTGTCACAAGAGTGCACGAATGTTAGGCTCAGTACCGAGTCAGCAGCCAGCAGTTGCGTAGATATAATATAAATGTGGTACAGTGGAATTCCTGTTTTCCATGACAAAGTTCACAGGTCCCATCTGTAGTGCATTCCAGTAACCACTGAAAACATGTATTAATAATAATTTATATACATGCATCTATATTATTCTTAGCTCTTTCGGTAAAGTCACGTTGAAGGGAAACAATAAAATAATAAAAATATATTATGTATTTCATATTTATATATATTTTATTATTTTATTGTTTCCCTTCAATGTGACTTTACTGAAAGAGCTAAGAATATGAATTACTGGAGTCACGAAAGCTTTAAATCAAAATTTTATGCATCTAGATTATTTGGGTCTTTCGGTAAAGTCACGTAGATAGTTTCAAAGAAAATAACAAAAAACTATAGAATATGAATTCTGGCAGTCACGAAAGCTTTAAGTCAAGATTTATGCATCTATATTATTTTTATTATTTTGCTGCTATAAATTTCCACGTGATAAGCCACTTTGTTGAGCTGTCATCTGTGATAGCTAGGTTGCTTCTGAAAAGGATGCTAATGGCTCAGTGGGCTTTACCTGTTAAGATAAAAATAGTTTATTTGATTTGTAAATATTTTTGAAATGGTTTGTTTATCTTTCCTATACTTTGCACTCTGTGTTTTTGTATTGGTTGTTATAACGTTCTGAAAAAGAGCCGTATAGCTAATCGGATTCCTCCAGTATAAATAAATATTCATATTTTGAAATGCATTCGCTGAGGAATGATCCCCCAGCATCCAAAAGCGTTGCTTCCGCGTTCCTGTTCCTGCCTCTAACGCTGGGGTGTCTGCGTCCCTCCCTGCGCTTGCAGGACATGCAGGGGGAGCTGGACAGGGAGACCAACACCCTGCAGGAGATGCAGAGCCAGAACCAGGGCGCTCAGGAGCGGCTCGGAGAGTTGGAGCAGCAGAGAGCCAAGCTGGAGGCCATGCTGTCCGACCTACAACTCAAGTGCCAGGAGGAGACGCAGACGGTCCATTGCCGCACAGCGCCACCCCCCTGCCACCCCTCCTGCCCCCCCGCCCCCCCTGCCCCCCCCACCCTCCCCAGCCCCCCCTCGCCCACTGTCCCTGCCCCCCGCCACGCACATGCCTCGTTCTTTATTCATTCAGTCGAATAGACATTCATTCCATGTGAACTCACCCGGAGACTACCCACCTCCTCAGCGTTTTGATTTTCGCTCATATTTGTGCGTGATGGGAATGTGCAGGTGAGGTATGCAACCTTGTCAGATGCTTGAGGTCAGTGATGAATATTAACTGAAATACGTGCCCTGTAGTAGGATGGTGTGGGGGGTTGCGGGGGTAAAACACTTTAAATGCATCTCATTTTGGTTGAGATTTAGATTTTTTTTGTTATTGACAAATAGCAAAAACTCAACATGTTCGTAAATAACACTGCCCTTAAAGGAAAAAAAAAACATAGGTGACCTTTCTTCATCGCAGATATTCTCTCTGCTGTGCAATGAAAAAAGGGCCGTTGCCCCAAGCCATATTCATTTAGATATCAGTTTTAGAGTTCTGTTTTTCTTGGTCAGGAATTGAACCCAGTTTTGTGGAGTTCAATGCGGTTATTGAATCGTTAAAAAATAATTGACGGTTCATTTATCGGCACTGCTCGAGCAGTCGAGGAAGAGGTCTCTTGGACAAGCGTATACACGTAACAAAAATAGATTAGGCACTCTTTATCTAGATTTTCGCCACTGCAGTCACTTACCCGTGATCCGATTATTCGTCACTCCTCTTATTTATGGGCAGAATATATTTCCAGAAACTCGTATTATTCACAAATGGAGTGCGAATGATTTTGATTGATTTATTTCGTCCTTAGTCGTTAACATCCCATTGCTTGGCAAAGGGTTTCCTCTGACAGTGTCTTCGATCTTTCACGATCTCTTGCCATCTCCATCCAGTGCACTCCTCCAAATCTTCTCATCTCCTTTCTGCCATCTGATCCTTTGTCGACCTTTCTCCTCTCTACCGGCCTCTGTTCTGTTGTTCACTTCACCCACCTGTCATTTGATGCCCCAGATAGAATTCCTGCCCCAACTCCGTTCGAGCTTTTTCCCCCCTCTTAAGTATGGCTGGCTACGTGCGGTGCGATTAGCACGGTTGGTTATGCACGGTGCCATAATCATGGTTGGCTACGTACGGTGCGATTAGTACGGTTGGCTACGTACGGTGTGATTAGCACAGGTGGCTACGTAAGGTGCAATTGGGATGGTTGGTTACGTACGGTGCATGGTTGGTTACGTATGGTGCGATTAGCACGATTGGCAACGTATGGTGTGATTGGCACCGTTGGTTACGTGCAGTGCAATTGGCACGGTTGGCTATGTACGGTGCGATTAGCACGGTTAGTTACGTACGGTTCCATTAGCACGGTTGACTACATGCAGTGCGATAGGCACAGTTGGCTACGCATGGTGTGTTTAGCACGGTTGGCTACGTATGGTGCAATTGGCACGGTTGGCTATGTACGGTGCGATTAGCACGGTTGGCTACGCACAGTTGGCTACGTATGGTGCAATTGGCACGGTTGGCTATGTACGGTGCTATTAGCACGGTTGGCTATGTATGGTGCGATTGGCACGGTTGGCTACGCACAGTTGGCTACGTATGGTGCAATTGGCACGGTTGGCTATGTACGGTGCTATTAGCACGGTTGGCTATGTATGGTGCGATTGGCACGGTTGGCTATGTACGGTGCTATTAGCACGGTTGGCTACGCACGGTTGGCTACGTATGGTGCAATTGGCACGGTTGGCTATGTACGGTGCTATTAGCACGGTTGGCTATGTATGGTGCGATTGGCACGGTTGGCTATGTATGGTGCAATTAGCAAGGTTGGTTATGTACGGTGCCATCAGCACGGTTGACTACATGCAATGCGGTTGGCACGGTTGGCTACACACGGTTAGCTACGTATGGTGCGAAAGAAGTCCAACAATATGTTAAGTGCATTTCATCTGTTTGGGGGATTTTGGGTCTGTCATTTGCACAGTTACCCAGTCCGACTTATAGCTCTTCTGCCACCATCACTGGCTGAATTCCTGCTTTGAGTCACCCTTGTGAAAAGAAATCATGCTTTGCGAAGCACCAGGCTTACTCCACTCTTCAGCCAACTGGAATTCTGAGGCCACTTCCTACTCCAGGGATTTACCCTCAACCTACCCGTGCTCATCTCCCCAAAGCCACAGGCACTTCTATGGGTGGGGGGGGGCAGGGGGGGTATTTGGGGACCAGGTTTTCAGCAGCTCAATAGCACGCTGCATTGAGTTACTGGCAGCACTTTCTATTCTATCCCACTGGCATGCTCTTGCGTGGCCAAACAATATCGTTCAAATCATCTGTGGCTTTTTCACGATAACAGGAGTCACAATATTTCCCCTCCTCTCTCCTCCGTGGTGAGCATAATAAGCACCACCTGACAGGAACGTGGAATTTACATACTCTTTGGGCCTTTCGGTAAATTCACGTAGATAGGGTGGGGTTCAGAGCTGCCATTGGAGGTGACCACTGGCCCATGCTTATTTCATCATAAAGTCTTTCACTGTTGATGGGATTCCTCAAACTGCAGTATCAGTTGCAGTGAGCAGCTGTTATTTGAAACTCATTCGACGAGCACTCCTGCGTGAACCTATGCTTTAGATGTTCCGGACATGTTTCAAATTCGTATCGGAGCTGGCTTCCTGCTGGCAGGATTAGACAGCTTATTAACCAGCTGAAATGTAATACTGTAGCTGAAAACGAGCTCAGCAGGGAGCTGGCAAAATATAATTGGGTTAACAACAGAAAATTAACAATGAATGTGAGGTCAGTGATGCTAACGCAGATGGATAGTGCTGTAACATGAGAGTAATAACATTAATAAAAATGAGTCGGCCCAGGACCTGCAATTCAGACGTGCCCGGTTCAATTGCTAATTTGTGTTAAGTTCTCCGGCAACGATGTCCAAGTCAATTGATATACTCTTTGCGATGGGGGTAAAGTGTGGGTACCGCTATCTATCTATTCTATTGAATATATCCATTACTAAATGCCCAGTTTAAGAGACCCATCTCAAGACCTAGATTTGAAGTTTTCGTGACTGCAGGGATCCATACTTTTTGGTTCTTTCGGTAAAGTTACGTAGGTATAAAAAATATATACAGTAAAACCTTGGATTGCGAGTAACTTGGTCTGCTAGTGTTTTGCAAGATGAGCAAATTTTTTTATTTCGATTTAAAGCTTTCATGACTGCAAGGATTCATCTTCTTTGGTTCTTTCGGTAAAGTCACGTAGAATGAGAATAAAATAATAAATTGATAAAATAAAATAACACAATATTCTCACGACGTTTCGGCCACAACACAAGCGGCCTTCATCAGGTGAAGGGGACGAGACTGTCTGGAGGACAGCGCTGGATGGGTCTCTCAAACTGGGCTCACTCCAGCGCTGTCCTCCAGACAGTCTCGTCCCCTTCACCTGATGAAGGCCGCTTGTGTTGTGGCCGAAACGTCGTGAGAATATTATTGTGTTATTTTATTTTATCAATTTATTATTTTATTCCCATTCTACGTGACTTTACCGAAAGAACCAAAGAAGACAAATGTTTTTAATAAACATTAATTTGATAAACGAGCGAGGTCTTGCAATACGAGTAGTACGTATACACTTTATCTGCCGAGCGTCACGTGTGCTTTGGATTACAAGCACGTTTCCGGAACAAATTATGCTCGCAATCCAAGGTTTTACTGTATAATAATTTTTATTTATTTTATTTTTTATGCCTACGTGACTTTACCAAAATAACCAAAGAGGACATCATAAGACCGTGAGAGATCACGACGGCCGTGGGGAGGCCATTCATTCAGCAGTGGATAAATCGTTGCTGATGCTACGAATGATGATGATTATCATGATGGAATCCACAATGAAGAGTTGGTGTGGTCCGATGCGGTGTTTGTCACACAGAGAACTCTGTTGTATCGGTGTTTACTGATAGAACATGAGAAATGTGTCAACAAGTAAATATGGTGTAGATGTATTTGTTTACAAATTCATCTCAATGTTTGTGGAAAAACATGCAAACAAACGTGCTCTGATAATATCTGTATTCCAATCGGTTTTAAAAGCAATGCATATATTATCAGCATGTTTGTTTGCATGCTTTGGCACAAATACATCCGGTTAATGTGGTCTTCATTACTTGCAATGTTGATCTATTTGGTGTTTGAACATTTTAACACCAGTTTTATTGCAAGAAAGGGTAAAGCCTATACTTATTATTTCATAAAGTCCAGTAGTGTTGACCCTTACACAATGGCAGCATCCCGTGTGTGTATGTATGTAGGCATTTGTGCATGTTTTCATATATGTGTATCAGTGTTGTTGCGGTTAGCCACTGCGCTATCAACCCAGCGATTAGGGTTCGATTCCTGCTCACGTCCCCGGCGTCCCGAGTTCCATTCCCGCTCATGGCCAACACCAGTGACGATCATCTGCACTGGTCCTGGGCCTTAAATCAGCCTTGAATGAGTACCTGGTATGGTGTGTAAAGGTTGCCACTTGGGTGCTGGCCAAACACCTTCTTACGTGCCGTGCTGGCCGTCATAGGTGCTACTCACTTAAAGCACTTGCCCCAAAAGTCTGTTCAGGCTGTATGGGAGAATCTTTGTATATGGAAGGGCACCGCAGTGTTGAGATGTTAGCTACCTCACCTGCTGTACAGGAGGTTGTGGGTTCGATCCTGACCCGGATGAAGCCTGTAAATTTGGATTTTGCATGTTTTCCCCATGGTTGCGCCGAGTTTTCTCCTGGTGCTCCAGTTTTTCCCTCCATATTTAGAAACATGCGTTCAGAGTATTCAACTGCTATAAATTTCCACATGATGATAAGCAACTTCGTTGAGCTATCATTTGTGATAGCCAGGTCACTTCTAAAAAAGAGCTATATAGTTTAGTGGGCCTTACCTGGTAAAAAAGAAAGAAAATGTTGAGTTCGACCCATAATGACACCGAGAATCCTGCTGCGTTGGGGTCGCAGATCTCGTCGCTGCGGGTGCAGATCGCGGGCCAGGAGTCGGCGCTGCGCTCGCAGGAGGATGACCTGAGCAAGGCCAAGGGAGAGCTGAGCCGTCTGCAGCACGAGGAGAACCAGATGGAGCAGAGGCTGGAGGCCGGCAAGGCGCACCTAGAAACCATCGTGCGCTCTCTGCAGGCCACGCAGCAGGAGATCTCCCAGGTGCCGTCAACATTTTTTTTCCGATGATGGTTCAAAAGCGTCAATGCGTTTGCTTTGCCCTGACCGTCTGTCTTCGCGTGGGGTCGCAGTAAAGTCGGTTAACGGCGATCCAATTTGCACAAAACTTTAGGGTAAAGCTGTCTTGTTGTTCGGGACTTTTTCGATTGAAAAGCGTCCATATCGATCAAAGGTTGTTTTGTAACAATGGGAGGCACAATAACTCTTGCAACGATGATTCAATCTGTGTGAAACTTTCGCATAAAGTTGTGTTTCTGTTGGGGATTTACCCTTTAGAGAAACTGGCTAACCTTACAGAAGAGCAATTGACCACTGCTGAGTGAATGATTGCAGTGACTTAGCGAGTACTGGATAATAATCTTAATGGTGTGTGTATTGCACTGGGCATGGTGCTGGTCACCCACCAGCACAATACACACACCACTGGGGAGACAAAGGTGGCCAGGCATGGTGTTGATCCACCCACTCCCTCAGGTGCCACAGTGCCGGCATTCATAGGTGCTGCTACTCACAGCACTTGCCCTGAAAGTGTGTTAAAGCTACACGGGGGATATTTGTCTTTTGTATTCCGCATCAGGTGCGTGGCATGTTGGCTCAACTGACAGATCCTCAGGGTGCTGGTGGCTCGCTGAACGGATCCCTGGACGTGCCAAATGCCGCCGAGGTGGACTCTCGCTCATCGCCGTTTGCCTCCAGATCTGGGGTACGAAATGGTTGGTTGTTTTTTGTTTGCGAGAACAGATTTGTATTGATTATGATGGTTGACGCAGATTGTCGGTGATCGGTAATGATTGGTGGAAGTTGTCGCCGATTGATTTCTGGGATCGGGTCTACGTGAGCATTGTGAACAAGAGCGTGGGGCCTAAGAGCAGATGGTCGCGTGTCTGCTGTAAAGCAGCCACGGGATCTAACAGAGGGTAGAGACAATTGACAAGGAGTGGTGGCCATTAACGGATCTTTGTTTTTACTCGCTTTATACGGTTTCTGTTTGTGTGATTTTTGCACTGTATATGCGTCTCACCTATTTCTACCCCGAGATTCACCGCATGCGGCTTTAATTCACCTGACATGCGGCTACGTGGTCAGACGTGCGGCTACGTTCTTCCATGCGCGCTGAAGAAGCGTTGCTCGGCAGGCAGCTAGCTGTCTTGTGCGGTGCGTTGTGGGTTGGGTGACCGTGCACTCTACCCAACGTGATTTCCCTTTTGCATGCCCTCTTTGTTTGCAATACATCTACCACCGCATAAAGCGGGGAAAACATTGGACGTTATCTGGATCATGATGACTGACGGTAGGTAATGACATTGATTGAGTACGGCTGGTGGTAATGATGATGCTCGGTGGTAATGCGATTGTGATGATACGATACGGATGATGATTACACTCCTTCGGTCACCGATACAAAGAGTAATCGATATAAGTAAATAAAAAACACAAGTAAACTGAAAGGCACAATGTTGTTATGGTCATGAAAAATGCATTAACATAATCAAGCCTGGCGTGAGGAAATTTGAAAGCCAAAGATGAAACCCATCAGCTACCCATTTCCAAATTGTGTCTGCTCACGTGACCACCAGCTATATAAACAGCCAGTCTCTGAAGAGTAAGTGCCTTAGACGTTAGGCACTGTTGATTCCTTCTGTGTTCAGCCGAGCAATTTGTACTTAATTTCTTCTCAGTCTTGGGGGAAACACCCCACCAACGCTAAATTTGAGCACTCACAAAAGTGTTCTTTGTTTCTTCACCGGCCCTGTGATTGAATTGATCAGAGATGTAATCGTTAATGAATGGATTTTTTTCGTCGGGTTCGGTAATTGCGGCTTGTTAGCGCCTTTGGTGGAATAAGTCAGCTCAAAAGGTCACGGACCTCATTTGCCATTAGTGGGTAATGACAGGAGACCAGAGTACATCTTCAGCTGTCGCGAGCTTGACATGTGATTATTTTCTCATTTTCGCCGCTCGGCATCGCACCCAGGGCAACCCTCGGTTGAGCTCTGCAAGATTCTTGGTGATAGGCCCACATTGCCACGTGGCATAAAAAGGGCGATGTGTCAGGCTTGGCGCACACGCCCGATACCTTTGTGACTATGCTTTGCGTGAAGGAACAGGTTAACGCATATAGCAGCTGTGTACATACGGTGTGTGACCCATTTGCTTGGCCATACTCCCAAAGCTTTGTTCTCCTACACTGGGGATTTGATGAGGCAATGGGCTCTGGGTCAATTACACTGAAGGCTTATGTTACATTCTATAACAGGGGTACTACTGCAGAGTTTTTTTTGTCATATTAACCTTGAGAAAGGCTGCAGAGCCAATGCAAGCCATTGGCAGAAATAGGGACATATCAGAAGAACGAAGGCCATTCGAGGCCAGTGCTCACCTCTTTTAGTTGATCCTAGGAACCTTCCTTGACCACGAGTATGAGGCCAGGCCAAAAACCATTTTCAAACGTTCCATTCGCGGGCAAATTGTTCCATTCTCGATGGTGTGTTAGCGGTGCCGGTAATCGTGGCTGGGTGACCCTGTGCCCCTTTTCCAGGGGCCTTGCTTTGACTCAAGATTCTGCACGTGGTAATAGTGGCCACCAAGGTCAACTGGGCATATATTCAGAACCCGGGTAGAATGACATTTTATTCGTTAACTCTCCTCGCGATGAGTGCTTTATGCAGTGCCGCTCTTCCAAGTCCAACCGGGTTTCAAATAAGCTCCCCCTCCAGAATGACTCTGCCTAAAGTGAGCACCCAGTGCTGCAAAGGAGGCTGAGTATAAGGCATGAAAGCGAGTGGGTGAGTGAGTGAATTTGAATACGCCCCCGAAAGTAAGACGCACTCAAATCTTGAGCTCTGGTGTCAATAAAATTCTACAAATGGGGTCACGGACCCACACACACCAAATGTATTATACGGACAATGCCCAACGTTGGCTTTAAAATACAGGGTGGACAAAAAATGCTTCTTTTGAACTGGTTTATTTCAGTCGGGCGATGATCAACCGTGTATGCTGGACCATAAAACCACTTCTGCCGCTCAGTGCGTTTCTCTAGGCCTCTCAAGATTAGGTCATTTTTCCTTTATTGCCAATTACAGTTACAATCATTTGCTAAAAGTACAAAATTGTACAATTTATATGTTGTACAATTTACTTTAAAATAACAATTACTCTCGCTTTTTTTGTACTCGCTGTGCCGTCTGTTTTTAAGGTTCTTATGATTTTATGGCCATGGCCTTAGGCTTCGAGTGCACTGCTATGGCAGAATAATTACCCACTTGCATTGACATTGTGCGCAGAATACTAATGTGTGTATATAAAGGGAAATGCTTGCAAAGGCCACAGTTAAGTGGAAGTAATGTTAAAATTATTGAATATCCTTGAAGATGTTCTATGAGCAACAGCGTTGATATTACCCACATGTAAATGGAGGCGTCATAAATTGGTGTTGTATTTTAGTTCTCCAAATTCTGTATAAAGGCCTCCACGCACCACGTTCATGATGGGAGTTATTTGACTATACCGAACCACACTGATCGGCGTGGGTTGGTGAAGGGATAGTGCAGTGGTTCCTACCCTTCGCCGCAGCCTTTGCACCCCTTTGGTTCTTAATTGTAAAAAAATATGTAATGGAAAAAAAAGACATAGGTTTGATTAAACAAATTAGTTGTACTTATGTGCCTGATTACTGGCCATGCCACGCACCCCCAAAAAGGGCATCTCACACCCCCAGCGGGTGCGTGCACCCCACGTTAAGAACCATTGAGAAAGGGAGACTAGAACCAGTCCAGATGTGTGTGTGGGGCAGTCCTCGAGTTTCAAACATAATTCGTTCCTGAGACCCGTTCGTCAGTCGGAACACAATAATACACTGTATTTAAATGCCCGTATGGTCAGTGTTATGAAATGTGTTTGGGTTCAACAAAAATGGCAGCATTCTTAATTAAGAATAAATATTGTACATTTGCGTGTAACACTGGAAAAAATTACTGTATAGTATATAAAACAAAGTAAATTGACATAAATAGCAAAAAAAGTTTTGTTTTCACTCACCTTGAGTCCTGATGCTGGCTTGTAGTCGGAAGGGGGGCAATGATTACCACAATTGCATGCACACACACATGGTGTACACACACACAGACACGCACAGACAGACACAAAGACAAAGACCCCCTATATTTCCTAAACAGACTGTTAGGGCAAGTGCTGTTTAGCGAGCACCTATGAAGACTTGCACGAAATACGGTCGCTGGGTTCATAGCGCAGTGTGCTAATCACGACATATAAATACGTATGTATATGTGTGTATATATCGGGCATGCTGCTGGCCACCCACCCCCTCGTGTGCCATGCTGCCCTTCATAGTTGCTCGCGAACTGCACTTGCCCCAACAGTCTGTTAAGATTATATGGGGCATCTTGTGTTTATTTACACACACATAGAGGGAAGCGGTAGTGTAGCGGTTAGCGTGCTGCGCTACGAACCCGGCATCCCGAGTTCCCGCTCATTGCCAATACCAGTGATGACTGTCTGAACCCGTCCTGGGCCTCCCCTAGGTCGACTCAGCCTCAAATGAGTACCTGGTGCTGTGTGTAAAAATCGCCACTAGGGAGACAAAGGGGGCCGGGTGGGGTGCTTGCCTTTATAGGTGCTCGCTAACAGCACTTGCCTCAACAGTCTGTTAAGGCTATATGGGGGATCTTTGTTTTTTTGGGTGTACATATGTAGTGAGTCCAACTGAGTCGCAGACATTTCTGTTTAGAGGCAACACTTTTATTATAACATCAACACGTTAACACAAAGGGGTAACTGCCCCTTTACCAGATACAGCCCAGGGTGGTGACCACCCAGCTAACTACCCTATACTGAGGAGTTACAGCTACGGAGGATCTGACCCTCACTCGGTTCCTGGCCACGTGCTGATGCCTGTAGAGCTCCCGGCTCGTAAGACGTAGAGCTTCAGCTTGTAGAACGAAGCGACCCCGGTCCCTCTCAGGGACCCACCTTATACCCTCCTGGGTCGAGGCCACTCAGCCCTCGGCCCCGCCCACCTCGAGCGTTCTAGCTCCCTCTCGATCCCCCTCGAGAGCTCTCCCTGGACACGTGATCACCCCCTAGCCCCCCCACCTGGGGCCCTCTCTGTGGACACTCCAGATCACGTGTCTGCGGGGTCAACTATAGTGCCATAGCCCGGGGCAACCCTGCCCCTGGGCTGACACTCTCCCACTCCCCCGTTGTGGGAGCCCGCACTGCACGCAATGCGTGGTGCCCGCGCTATCCCAGCGCTCACCAAGCCCCGCTAGGGCTGGTACTACACCCACCTACGTGGTGTACGCGATGACGGTGCATCGCACGCCGTGCTGTGCTAGAGCCGGCCTCACACAGCAACCCACCCAGTGCTCTCCGCGACGTAGGGACATTGCACAGTGACATCCCTGATGTCACTACACATGTATAAAAATTGACGCACGTTCGTCCACAATAAACTCACGCAAAGTTTGCTGTTAAAAAAAAATTGGTTCTTTTGCATTTTCGTCCATTGTGCATGCTCACAATCAAGGTTAGAATTTTTTTTAAAAATAAATAAATAGGACAATATCTGAGGCTTTTCACAAAGGCCAGGGTTTAGACACAGTGCATCGCCACGTGGAATGTCATGGTGCGAAACACGCGCAGCTGTTGCAATATCGTTTCCGTGCTGGCTACAGGCTGAGC